TTCCAGGACTCCGTGCTGGGCGCCAAGGTCTGTGCTGATGTGCAAGCAGCTCTGCCAAAGAACTTGGAGAAGTCCGCGGTAGTGGGATCCATACTCACCAGCTTAGGCATTTTGCGCTATCGAGATTTGGGTTAGTCCATGATCCTTATATTTTAAAATTGTTGTGTATTGTATACTAACGAGTCCTATCTGTTAGATATCTTGGAATCGTTGACGCAGTGGCTCGTGAAGAACAGTGAAATCTGCCGCCCTCAAGATCTCAGCGCGTATTTCCTCACATCGGCTTTGCTGAACTTTAAGAGTGCCCAGCTCGATGATGTAAGCAATAAACTTGCGAAATCCATTGTGCGGGAGGACTTCACCAAGCAATCCGAATGGTTAAGCTATGTCTGGTCCTTGGCCATGCTCGGGCTTGTGGAACAAAAGCATCTTGATTCGGTTTTAAGGTGCGTTTCATATCGGTGATTATTTGGAAAAATGTATCACTTAATCCTCCGATTGGTTATTTTTCTTAGTCCTGGATTCCTGGAGCTATTAGAAAAGGACAAGTCCGGCCTGACACCCGTCTCCAAGATGAGGCTATTGAATCTTAATAGTTATGCGCAGCTACTGGCTACAGATTACAAGGGTGTTTTGCTGCCAGCTGATAGTCCTGCTTACCAAGTACCTATGGCCCACACGAAGACGAAACAAATTCTGGTAAATGGCATGCTTGATGCTCTCAAGAGCCTTCTGCCGGCCACTAACCATGTACAGACGTCGGTGGACAGCAAGATGGGTTTTCTTATAGGTAAAAGAATTGCTCTCTTCTAAACCAAAACTCTCTTTTAATCGAGCCTCTTTCAGATGCGCTTTGCCACTTTGATGCCAATAGAAATCCCCTGCCGTTGGACAAGGAGAATCCAAATGCAATTAAGTGAGATACACTAGATTTACAGGGGATCTTACTGGCATTTAATGAATCGTATGAAATCGTCTTCTAGGGTGGCGCTAATGGTGATTGACTTCCATGACATTTGCCATGGCACGCATCGCAGTGCCAGCGGAGTTACGAACCTGACATTCGATCTGCTGGAGAAGAGTGGCTACCAGGTCATACCAGTGCCGTACAATGAGTTCAGCACCAGCGACAAGCTACTGAAGCGCGTTCAGTACTTGGATGCAAAGTTCAAGGCGATTGTTAGTAGCAAATAATTTCAATTGTAGTTTATTTAACTTCCCTTTTAATGTTTAATCAAAATTGAAATTGTTTAAATTTTGTAAATGTAAAATTAGGTGCTGAATTAAAGGCTAAACAACATCTGGCTTAGAATGTTCACTAAACCTTTAATTTAAGCGATGGAATATCTATATATTAAGTACATGTGAATAAGAAACGTTACGCTGCCTTTAGACTGCATCCAAATTGCTGGTGCGCTGCTGGTTCATGCCCACCTTCCACCACTGTCCCGTCTCCTGGAACTCGATGGCCACGGCTGCCAGCGTTTGGAACAGACTTCGGGCCAACATGTGACGATTGCCGATATGCAAAATGAACTTCGGATCGTACACCTTCTCGATGTCATCGATCTTGTAGTGATCCCGGGTCTCCCGCTCTGTCAGACACACACAATTCCATGGGGCCCAGTCGTCACTCTTGATCCAACGCGGCAATCTAAAGCGGGAGTAAAGCTCGAAGTTAGATCTATTGGCTTATCCCTTGGGCACGCGACTCACCTCAACTCGTTGAGATTCTCGGTCTTACTGAGTGCCGAGTGACCATGCCAGATCTTGTCAATGATATGACGCACATCGTCCGACTGCATCACAAAGGCAAAGGATGTGGTACACTTGCGTTTGCGCTCATCGCGTTGCACGCATCTCAGTATTGATTGGTACACCGTGTTCTCTGTGGCCGTTAGCTGGAGGTAGATCCCATTAATCACCTGAGAAAACTGAGCATTAGGGTATAGCCCACCTTAAGGTAGTAGCAGCTCTTGCAGGTATCCACATGGCTCTGGCGCGTGCGTATGGCAAAGTCCTTGTATGCCTTGACCTTCTTGCACACGATGCACATGCGCGAGGGAGGCCCTGCGAAAGGAGTTTACTCCTTAGTGGTGATCGATTCGATGGACCCTTTGCTACTCACGTTTGTTCTGTTCGCTCTTCTGAAACTTGATCAGCTCGTAGAAGAGAATGTTCTGGCGCTTGCGCAGAATTTCGACATCACTTGACGTTGCATAGAGCAGCAAATTCTTCTCGCGATCAAACAGATCAAACAGCTAAAGAAGGGTGCCACCATGTTATCGTGTAAAATGATTCGATTGATCACAGCCAAACCTCAGGGAAGTTGGGAAAGCAAGTCTCCTCCATGAGTATCTCCATAACACGACGTACGAGGGTCAGGCGTACATCTCTTGAAAGTGGCACTCGCAGATCCTTGTAGACTTCGGTGAGGAAGCGAACGCGCTGCGTGCTCAGCAAATCCATATGGATCTTACAGTCCTTGTACCCAATCCATTCGATGGGTTTGCCCATCTTCTTGAGCAGCTGGTCCTTGCGGAAATCCTTCATGGACTTGCAGACCAGACGGCGCTGCCGCTCCACGCCATTCAGCAGTTGGATCTCCTTGTCCAAAAGAATGTTGACCTCGGAGATGCGGGCAGGTCCGTCGTAGTGGGCAGCAATCCGCTTTAGTTCGGCCCGCTTCCAGCGACCGATTTCGGCATACAGCAGATCGAAGTCGTCCTTGGAGCGGGGGAACTGCTTGATCGCCTTCTGGCGATCGACACGCTCCTCCACGCACTTTTCGTATTGCTCCTCCTCTTCCTCGCGGTTGCGCACCAAGCGACTGGACAGGAATCGGATCAGATGTGGACTCATTTGGGTCATCTCTTCGGCGAGTACTCACCGATACTCCTTGGCGCGAATGCGGATGTACTTCCACAGGATCCAGCGACGCCAGTTGCGCTGTATGAGCTGAATCTTCTCCAGCTTCCGCTCTGCGCGTTCCTTCTGGGCGAAGGTCTGGTATTTGCCAGGAACAATGGTGAAATCGTGGGCCGCCGACACGTAAAGGACATTGATGCCATCGAGATGGCATTGCACCGACTGCTCATGGGCTGTGTTCTAGAGGGGATTCGCAGGGACAAATATTAACCGCGGAGCAGATCATTTGAAATTCATTCCACCCACCAGAATCTTTTCCTTGTGCTCCCAGGTCTGGGTATCCCTGGAGTAATAGCGCCTGGCCTTCCACTTGTCAAAGTAGGGCCCGGTCTGGGAGAAGGCATCTAAGTACTCTTTGCCGGTGGCCCTGTCCCTGTAGCCACACAGAAAGGGCTTGATGATGGCAGCATTCACAATCTCCACCACCACGTTTTTGGGCTGCCCATCCTCCGTGTCCTCGCCAGGAATATGGACAGTTATAAAGTCCGCCAGGCGGTGCTTGCTGTTGGAGATCGAGATCTCCAGTTTGAAGATTCGTAGGAGACTTTCCTCTATGGTATACTCACTCGTAGTAGACATCCAGATCCAGCTTGGGCGCTGGCTCTGTCCCAATATCCTTGGGCACGAGCAGCTCCAGCTGAAACTCGTGTATCCCGAACTCATCGAACTTGGTGGAATTGATGGGCAGGGAGTCGCACAGAGGGCGATTCTCCTGCCTGAGCACCAGGAGCTTCGGCTCCACCTCGAACTTGCGCGATATGTCCTGCTTAACCTCGGCCAGCGTCATGCAGTTGGGATAGACCTGGGCCACGATATCCATCTCCGAGATGCGAAACTTCACCGTGACATTCTCCAGCTCCACACAGCCCTCCTCCGTGTGCTCCGACTCGGTGCTGTTCGAGTCGAAGGCTGGGGCACAGCCAGCCGGCTGCTTGGGCCGCTCCGAGGGATCCACATTCAGCTGCACATTGCGCACAAATGCCGGAGGATACTCCGGGGCACTCATCTTTCTGCTCTAAAAAATATATAGTTTCACTTATTTCTGTGAATGTTCTGGGTGGGTAAACTAATCGGAAAACTGCCTGCTGGGATCTGATTCGATGGAGACCTCAGACTGGGGGACTTGACTGGGTCACAAAGGGCTCCCCCCGGCAACGAATTTGTTCAATAACTTGAATGCCGCTGCTAGGCGCCCTGTTGTGGCAACGCGCCGCTCCGTGGGCCAGGCCCAACATTCTGGCCATAGTTCAGTGTTCCCTTCGGTTCAGTGCTTAGTTTTCTCACGCATACGCGTCAGATTTTCACGAGTGAAAGCTTCCAATCATCTAATGAGTCGGAGCTACCCGAATCCAACGGTCACTCAGAAATTTGCATACCAAATTCTTTTCTAATTGCCGCAATTTCTTCACAAATTTTTGAGTTTTCAAATCTGCAAAGTGTTTGTTTACCCTTGGAGAGTGGGTACTAACATACGAGTACCGGTACTCTCAAAAATAGGTAGTTTTTCAGATTTATAGAGCTCTAAGAATTCATTACAGGCAAGGTTGTGGTTGTTTTATACTTAATCCAACAAAATTTGACTAACTTTTGAAAACAATACCATCAGTAGTACGAAGTTTTTAAAGATTTTCTGCAATTTTATTCGAAGCCTTACTTTTGTGGTTATTTATTTGTTGCATAACATTGACTGAACATTCGGAATTTAAAGAGACAACGGTGACAGTAATTACTTTTACTAAATGGATTGGAAAGACTGCCAGGCCACACGTGAAGACGATTTGATGATGATGTCGATGCTACTGGCGCCGAGATGCTGATGCGGAAGCCGGGCTAATAATGATGGTTGGCTATTATATCATGATCTATACAGATATCATCAAAATTAATGGAGGCCCCGCTTAGCCAGAGCTTTCTTTCTCCCCATTCGTTCGATTGTGACCCAAATTCGGCAATATTTCCAGTGCTTATGGGAAATATGATCCACTTAAAAGGTTTTGCCAAAGCTGCTTAAGATATTCGGTTACCTCAAATGAATAAAGCCCAACATTTTGTAATTTTTTGCTAACTAAATTTATTAATAAATAATGTTTTTATTGTAGTAGAACTTAGACTTAAGATTGAGGGCAGTCAGGGCGGACTTGGCATCGGCGTGGGCCACCTGCAGCCGATGGGGACGTCCATTGAAGTAGTAATCCTTGTGATGCTGCACCCGCAATAGTTTGCTGGGATAGAGGTAGCCCAGATTATTGGGATTCATGGAGGGTTTGCCGGGCTTTGGCTCTGGCTTCGGCGCTAATGGACGCACTGTGGTGCTCTGCTGCGGCGCCTCCGTCTGTGTTAGCGGCGTCTCCTTCTCCAGAATGATGGGATTGATTTTCATGGGCTGATAGTCCAGACCGATGCCGGGTATATGACGGAAGGGCAGTGGGGGTACGGGTATATAATAGATTTTCGAATCCTTTTTCGTTTTTTTCGTCTTACTGCCGTTCTTGTTGTACTTCCGCAGGTTCAGTGGCTTCGAGGTGACCAGATAATCCATATACACGTTATCCAGCGAGGGTGACTGCACGACAATTCGGTTGCCCAGCGGGGCGCCGGCGGCGGCGGCGGCGGCTCCACCCTCCAGGCCACTCGACATCGACAACTGCGGCAGCAGCGACGGGGCTCTCATGTGGTAGGAGTAGGGAAAGGCCTGGCCAAGACTGGCCAGCGCCAACAGTGCCGCCAAGTGTATCAACAGGGGCGACATGCTGCAAAGATAAGCCAGAGAGTGTCAAGGTAAAAGACAATGGAAAGTGTTCGACCCACACGCGCGAAGTGCTCCCTAATTGTTCCAGCATTTGATGGATGGGATGGATATGGATGGAGTCCGAAATCAAAAGCAAAATCAAACTCAAAACCAAAAACCAAAAGCCAACACCCGAATTCGAATAATAATCAAAGAGCGATTTCTGCAAGTCACATGCCAACGCCGAATAATTTAATAATAAATAAATTGTCTGGGCGCATCAAAGCGCAAAATCTTTCGCCTTTACATTGTAAAGTTTCTCACGTTCCCCACAGATACGCGCACACATACGGGGGCTACTACTACTACTGCTCTCAGGTGGGTAATTTTCGTTTCGATTTGATTTAAATGAAAGCATTTAATGCACGCTAATCAAAGCCTCTAAGAGCGACGCCAGCAGCGACGGCCACTGCGACGCCGACTGAGCAATTACGCTAATGAGCGCGTCGAGCGCCATCTGGCGGAGCAGATTTCAACGCTTCAGTGATTAATGATGAGCCTTTAAAAAGATAGAAAAAATAGATTGATCAACCCGAGAGATAAAAAAAAAAAATCCAAAATTGAGCAGACAACAAGCTGTCGGCGGTGGCCGATCGAAGTCCGAGAACAAGCGGCGGGAAAACACGATTTTCGGGGCGTAAACGTTTAGGCGCGCCCCCTTCCCGATCTACAAAGCGATATGCAAATATTTTCTAGATTCGCCCCTCCTCGACTCAGACCTTTGTCTAAATCTGTCTATGGCCTGAAGCGTTTTTCGCCAACCTGATAAATTGCAGAAAGTCTAGGAATCTGGGATTATGAGGCCCCGCATGATATATGATCGGTGGAGCGATAACAGAACAAAGACCACATAGGACCACACACACACACACACAGAGATATTAGTGGAAAAATGTTATTACAATTAAATTACTTCGGGGAGATCTCTGATCCCTAATGGCCTGTGGTTCACACGAGCTGTTGATCGCTTCTGTCTGGCGAAAAATCTTGATTTGTCCACTCACAGACTCCAATTATCGAAATCTTTATGTGGTTTTTGCCTATATCAACACTTGTGAACAATCTTTGCAAGGCCATATTCATTTTGTGCCTATGCCATTATGTGGTCTCATCATGATTAATCATGTCACCTGGCTCCTTCTCCCTCTCTCTTCGGGGAGTGAAAGACGAAAGACTTTGGCAACGAACTCGAGATGTCGATGCGGACGTCCAGCAATTAAAAGCGTATTAATTTAATGGACTGCTGCCAGCTGTCAAATGCAAATGAATAAACCCTCCACTCCATCCATCCCATCCTCTTTGGGCATACGAGATTTTTTGCATCTGAAAACTCACTTTAAATGGCTCTGACTGCAGCTGCCGGTTGTACTTGCTGAGTAGTTTCTTATGCAGTTGATTACGTATTTTCTTTATTTATATTGACTGTAAGGCGGCGATTAATTTATTGGCCAAGTGTCCTTCCTTCTACGAGAGATGATTGTTTGTCTGGTTTGGCTTCTTTTCTGCCATAAATTATGGAATTTTTTGTATGCGCACGTTCTGTCACGTTTTTCTATATTTATTTAATTGTTAATATCACTTGAAGCAATTAATTTATAGTTTTTCCCGTGTTTAGTCTCGACTTAAATTTGAATTTAAATTCAATTTTGAACCGCTTCCTCGCACTGCTTTGCCGACACTGTCGATCAGTTTGGTTTCGTGTTGCGCGCGCAGCTTTTTGAACGTTGTGAACGCCTCGAAGTGCGGCAAATAAATGAGTCTGCGGACTGTTTGTAATTTGTTTTTTTTTTCTTCTTAAATCAAAAATCAGTCGGCCGACGTCGTTGCCGCTGCTGCTTCTGTCGCCGCCGTCGTCGTCGTTGTGGGGCGACGTCATAAGCAGCGACAGCAACTGGAAGTGTGAGCCGGGCCGGGCTCAACTTTTATTGTTGTGTGTGAGGTCCAAACCGATGGCGATACCAATGCCGCTGTCCGTGTCTAACACTAACTAGTTGGCTACCAGACAGACCCTGGCAAATGATCGTTAGTGGATGGGAGGACTGATCTTCAGGAGATGGGGGGGGGGGGGGGGGGGGGGGGGGGGCATAGTGTTCGGTGGATAAGCGGGACCGAGATCTTCGATGGCTGATCTGCCCCATGTTCTTCTGGGGAAGAGACGTTCCAAGATCTTTAGTCGAAGAGCGGCCCATAAATTAGCCAGTTTATTGTTTGTCCACTTACTGTTACAGTTTGCGATTGCACTTTGTGGGTTTTCAGACGTTTCTGTCTCCTTGCTATTTGCTTGACAAATTTAACAGGGGAGAAAATTGATTCATCACTTCCCTCGCTCTGCGACGGCATTTGCATATCACGACAGGAAAGTGTCAGAGCTGTACACAGCAGGAAACCCAATACCACTTGACCAGTCCAGTCAGTCAGCTTTTGATTGAATTACACCTCGAGCAACAGTGCTACGAGTGGAGTAACTTCTTCTGCTGAGGGTCTGGGGTCTGGGTTCTCTGCTCTGGATTCCATCTTCTTTTTCTTTCCAATATTGTGAACAAATTAGTTACAAATGAACCTACGACAACAAAGGCCGTTGAAGGTAACACGAAGCCTCGGTTGAGGCTTCATTTCTTTTCGCAGTTTGCTCTCTCAACCTACCCGTATTCCTCGCATAACAAGCACAAGGCTATGTTGTCTTCTGGGTGGTTTTAGCTCCCTTTCTCCTGGTCAAAGTAAGAGATACATATCTGTGGTGTCTGCTCTAAGATATGGGGCTCATATTGGAGGATTAAAAATGATTACCATGGCTGTATCTTCCCTCTGAATGATCGCTGTTCCTACCACATACCGGGTAATGGCATGGTCGACTATGTCATTCCTACAGTTGGTCTTGCCCATTGACAGGCCAGCGCAAGCCACGTCCACCAGGTGCCGTCTCCTCCTCCGTCTCTGTGGGCTCCGTGCGTGTGGCGCTTCGGGGGTAAAGTCTTTGCATCCATCATAATTTAATTGGCCAAAGGCCGAGAGACTGAAATCTCTGGCATTTTCTAAACACTTTTGCGTGATGTGTTGACGCTGATTGAGAAGTGTTGGCTAAATGGGAAAGGGTGTTCTTTGCGAGAGAAATTCCTTTTCGACCGACCCATTCTGTCTGACCCATTGAGTCAGTTGTCCAAGCCGTAAATCAGTCAAATTTGTCATAATTTATAGCGAAATTCAAGCAAAATTAGTGTTAATTATATCACTTCCCCTTTTTGAACAGGGTTTTATGTGCCTTTTCGGCTAATTAAAACAAGTAAAAGCAACTTCCACTTCCAAAGAGAGCTTATATAAAATCATTTCCCCTCGAAAACAGCCAACTTTCCCATGTCCGGGGCATCTTTCACCCAGCTACGGACCACAGAAACCATCTAATTTCAGAGCAGAGACAAGACACTACAAATACAAAGAAAACAAAACAAAATGACATAACCGCAAATAGTACTCGACTTGTCCAAATAAAACAAATTGTGCGTTTAAGTACGTTCTCCATGCCCTCCACTGCTGATGGATCCAAACACTTTTAAATATTAATTAGCCTTGGCAGCTCCCTCCGCTCCAACCCTCTTCTGGCAATTATTCTGCCCCAGCCCACTCTGAAGTGTGTGTTGAAGTGCGTAAGCTCTCGCATGTGCCAAATGGCGGCTACCGATGGCCACAGATATCTGCCAGATACACGTTCTCACAGAAATGGGAGTGAGACAACTAACTGCACGCATCTGCTGGAGGAACATAGCCCCATCTCCAGCCGCATCTCCAGCCGCATCTCCAGCCGCATCTCCAGCCGCATCTCCAGCCGCATCTCCAGCCCCATCTCCAGCCGCATCTCCAGCCGCATCTCCAGCCGCATCTCCAGCATAATTGTTAACGATTAGACAACACAAATCACGAACAAGCTGTAAACGCCAAGTATCTGCATCTGTGTATCATTTTTTCCGAGCCTTGTGTGAACCGAGCTTTGGAATTATTAAGACTAATATGTTTAATGCTGACGGAAGCAATATAGATAGATGGCCGAAGCACGGGGCCACCGCAAACGAGACAGCTGTCTCTGCCCTCCTCCTCCTCCTCCCCATAACCCCACCAAGCACAAGCACAAGCCCAACTCCAACTCCAACCTCAGGCAAAGTCATCAGCTAGACCCACGTCTGGGCAGAGTCTCCGTTCCAGTCCCCGACTCTTTGGCATGAATGACATGACAGACACACACTACACACAACACACAACACACTCGTTGCTGGTGGCGCTTGCGTGTTTGGCTACTGAATTTTTAAGCATTTTCGAGCGGGTTCGCCGTCTGTCGGAGGCTTCATTTACATGGCCAACGTTTTAATTAGCGGCTTAGAGGCTCCCCGATAGGGAGACAGGGCGCAGGAGATCTCCCAGATCCATTTAGATGAATGGCGGGAACACCCACAGTCGGATAAGTCAGATAAGCAGCCGGCAAATGCGGCATGCGACGACCAGCGACCGGCGACCGGCAACCGGTGACCGGCGACCGACTGGCTTAAGTCCCAACGATTATATATTGCCCAATTATAGCAAATCTTTTATTGCCGATAAATTCGCAGGTTCATTAAACTCGGCAGCCCCCCTTCTCGCTAACTGACTCAGTGGCTTCAGGTTGGGGCACTTTGCGCCTTTGTTTGGTCTTATTTTAGCATTTGCTTTTGTCATTTGTGGGGTGTTTGATCCAGCAGATCGGTCCCATGCCTCCTCTCGGCATCGAGGAATGCATTTGGAATGAAGCTGTGGTCGTCGCAGCTTTATGATGCAATGCCAACCATCTGGATCTGGATATGTCCGTGCACTGATGGCATTGCTGTGGCTGCAGCAATTGTGGCATTTCTGAGTAAGCCCCTGGATTGGGGTCAGGCTGCTGCCTGCACGTTTGCACTGACTTTCATCGAAAGTCAAATATTTGTAGATCGCTGAAAAGGAAAAGTGTAACGAAAGGAAAACACCGCTACTGCTGCCAGCAACCAGCAACAGCTCTCCAGCTACGATACCGAGTACCACTGATTGTTGTCAGCCACAAAATTCAATATTTGCTCATCCGTTCCCGAAAGCGTTTGGCGGATTCTTCGGTGGATTTTGTGAAAGTGCCAAGGGGGTAAAGGGGCAGCTCGAAATGGGCGTTTTGATGGCAGGCACTGGAGCTTGGCCTGCGATGAATGGGGGCGATTGGCTATGAACTGAAGCCGAAATCGGAGTCAAGACTGTTGGCTACCTATTGAGTCACAACGAAAGCCTCAAGTGGTTCGCAGAAAGAGTGTGTACGGGGGAATCCCCAGATTTGTACCAAGGTTCAGGATAAACATTTCGCTTTTCCAGCTGATTTTCCCTCCACCCGCCACCCCCAGCTTCGAGCTAACGATTCGCCGCGGTCTATATCTCAATTGGCCGATGATTTATCCCCGCTATAAACGAAAAAAAAAAAACGCACACACACACTCAAAAACTTTCCAAGTGCCTGACAATTAGAGCAAACGATAGTTGGACGGATAGATCGTTAATGATGGCATGGTGGCTTTATGGCCTTTTCCAGTGGCAGGAAGATTTCAGCACGTCTCCCGTCAAATGGTGGCACGAAAATTCTTTGGCCGTCATTTTCGCCTGTTCGGCTCGCGATTAATGATCGAGAAATAAGTTTTATTAATTGGAAACCAGTTGGCCAGTAAAAAGGAAAAGCTAACGAAACATCAACCAAACGGAAAACACAACAATATCCCCAGATCTCTGACTGTTCGGGTACTCTACTGGATCGCATACTTATTTAACAATAATTGTACTAAGTGCATTAATTAGCCGGCGAGCGGACGAGAAAGAAATCATTGGAAATGGATTTAATTGCTCCGCTGGCTTTTATTGTTTCGGCCCGCAACAGAAACGGGCAAAAGCCAACTATTATTTCAATTGGAATTTAATTTTTCGAATGGGCATTGTTTGTTTTTGCTGGCCTAAACGGCGCCCAGATTTTGCGAATTTTATTTCCATTATTTCTGATCCCATCTCGCGCGACCTTGAGAAGCACAAGGCAGAGGAGGCAGTGGCTCTTAATGGCTCTGAAGACACACATTGGGCGGGCGGTTGTCTGGGCGTACGTTCGCCGTCCCTTGCCACGCTCAGTGTCAATAAACTTAAGTTCTGGAGAATTCATCTGGTGGAAGCGAGACCTCACCCAGCATCCTATCCTCCACATGCCATCCCAGAGATCATCCAATGCCACGATCGGCCGGAGCGACACTTAAGCTGTTATCAATGTATCTATTTCCATTCCGTTTATACTGCTGACTGGCCATTATTGTCTCTCATCTGCTGTCGGGGCCGTAAAACTTTAATTTCAATTGAAATAAGATAACCATCTCGCCTTCCAGGGCGATCCCCACGCCACGTCGCAGTGTCGCTGTTTTAATGGTTCACATTGCTTCTGCCGGAACATGTTTTATTTTTACTCACCAGTAGCATATCTCACTGTTATTTAATTATAGTTTTAGAAAATAAAAAGGAAAGAAAAAGATGGCATCAAAAAGTTTCCCGACGAGGATGGGATTCGAACCCACGCGTGCAGAGCACATTGGATTAGCAGTCCAACGCCTTAACCTCTCGGCCACCTCGTCATATGCGGCCTTGGCAGACAGATGCTGGTTTGGTGCACCGCTTTGCCACCAAAGCAACCACTCCGCCTCCAACATAGTTCTTATCTGCATTACGAATAGGAATGATAACAACACAAACTCAAATTCTAAGCTACCACAAGACTTCTATGATTTGAATAATACCTAATTGATATTGCACACACATTTAATTATATATTTAGCCATGAAATAACTCATAATTTACAGAACTGTTTGCCACATCCGCAAGATTCTAATGTCTGCACGCACTGCTTGCTATCGATAATAATGTGCATGTCCACTGCTCACTCGACAAGCTGAGAGTTGGACCTAACCTGGGCAAGGGACGAGGTGGCCGAGTGGTTAAGGCGTTGGACTGCTAATCCAATGTGCTCTGCACGCGTGGGTTCGAATCCCATCCTCGTCGAAGAAACTTTTTGCAGTTATTTTTCTTACTTTATTAAATATTATTTAATTATTACAAAAGTTTTCAAGTACGGTTTTATTGCTGTAATCTGGAAATTAGATAGATTGGTTTTTGGCTTTTAATAATTCAATAATTACCACTCAAGGTAATTTTATGACTCGATTACGTATATTCGTTCTTTCAAAAAATGATCCAAAAAAGGTACATCCTATATGACGAGGTGGCCGAGAGGTTAAGGCGTTGGACTGCTAATCCAATGTGCTCTGCACGCGTGGGTTCGAATCCCATCCTCGTCGGGAGAGTCCTTTTTTTTAATCGACATTGATAAAAGTGCAAAAAAGTATCCCTGATTTAATTTAATGGGATAACAAAAATTTGCTTTAAATCAGTTATTTGATCTCCCAACAAGATAATACAAGTCCTATGACACTTATTTAATAGGTTACTGTGTACAAAAAAGAATAACATTTATAGGAACTATCCTACTTGCAAAAATTGCAACTCGACGAGGATGGGATTCGAACCCACGCGTGCAGAGCACATTGGATTAGCAGTCCAACGCCTTAACCTCTCGGCCACCTCGTCTCTTGTGAGAAGCTCTGCTCAAGACCCAATTTCCAATAATACAGTTTTTAGTTCTTATCAAAGAATCCATCCATATAATGAAACTTATTAGCAACTATTGAAGTGTTTACAGATAATACACTTCCAAAAAGGGTAACAATATACAATTACATACAATATAACGAAACTCCGGAAGTGTTTTCTCTAGATATTTATTTAACAATTCTTTAATTGTTTGTTTAAGAACTGTGCCAATGAAAAGGGGAAAAATATTTGCAAATAATGCGAATAAGCTTTTGGCAAAGTGTTTGTCTGTTTGCGGTTAAAGAAAGTAGCCAAGTTGTGGCTCGTGTGGGGGGACCACAGCTTAAGTGAAGCTTAAGATCCTAAGATGTTCTATATGTAAATTTTGAATGGGGTAAAAATGTAGGGGTATCATAATTCGAATAGTAATGTTACTAAGATACGGTAGATTCCATCTTAATCTTAGATCCATCTCAAAGTCCGACTTAGATCATCATTTTAATTGGGAAACTGGAGGGAAAAGTGTAGACAAACATGGACCGTCGGTCGGTCAATTATTTTGAATAACTTGAATCCAAAGCCTATAGGGTATTTTCCTGTCCAAGCCACCTTTGAGCGCTCCTCGCACTCCATCAGTTATGTTATTCGTAGAGTAATTTGTTTGCTCAGCCATTCTCTGGAGGGCGATGTTCGAAGGGGTTTTCAATAATTCTCAGATTCTGTGCTGGCGATCGTGCCGCCTCTGACCCAGTTCTCTTCTCTGTTGATCTTCTGTCGTGGATTTCTTTTTATTTCTCTCTCCCTTTTTTTGTCTGCTCTGTACAAAGTTTGGTGTAAAAAACAAAAGTGGTTTACTTTAGATGAGCCATGCTCGAGCAAGTGTGTCGGGGGCCAAGTGGCGGTGGTGCTGGTGCTGGTTCTGGTTCTGGTGCTGCTGATGATGGTGCTTCTGATGATTTAATATGAGAGCTTCTGCATTTTAAATATTCGCAGCTATAGGAAACAGATCTGATGGTCTTAGACCATTCTTGTGTCCCAGCTGTCAGTCGGTGTTAATGAACCCTTGTCGCCCAGATAGCTTTCAGTTGTTTACGTTCCGAATGCCTATACGGATGCCGAGATGCCGCGATGCCAAACACCAGCATTGTCACCTAACGTGTGTCGTCTTCGGGTTCGTTAGGAAAGTGGCCCAGGTTTTGATGATCCAAAGGCACGCGCGTTTTATATTTAGCCCCACACCAAGACAGAGGCTGGCTCCAGTCCGGGGCTAGTCACGTGCACAAGGACATTCCAAGGCTAATTACGTTGGCTTGTTGGCTTCTTGGCCAGGCCAGGCCGGCCTGGACCGAACCGAACAGAACCGAACCGACTTGGGCTTGGTTTTGTTTGGCTTTAATACCTCTGCATACGAGTCTACGAAAACTCGTACTTACAGACGAGTGAAGCAGCATACATACATATATGTACGTACAACACGAACCGTTCATTATTGTCGTCGCTGCTGTTCGTTGCTTGTACGGCTGCTCGTACTTGCTGCAATCTGCGGCATGTATCTGTATCTTTTGCATCTGCGTGGTTGGCTGTGTCTAGTACTGCAGTGGCATCAGTGGCTGCAGTGACTGCAGTGACTGCAGTGACTGCGGTGGCAGCCGCCGCTTAATTAGCTGCGTAATTTATTATTGCTCTAATCTCAACGCCAGCGACGGCGCCAATGCCGCTGGCTTTGACAAATAAACAAATTATTCATATTAGAATATGTATTAATAATGCCTGCCAGCAGCAGCGGCGGCGGTGGCAGTGGCACTGGCAGTGGCAGTGGCAGTGGCGGCAGCGGCTCCAAGATGGTTTATCTGCTCATCTGGAATATCAACGTAATTATGCATCTCTGGCAGAAAGAGAAGAGAAGAGTGATGTGATGTGATGGGAGGTGATGTGGCATCCTCTGCTGAGGGAGCTGGTACTGGGTGCTGGTTGCAACTATTCTATGACTGGCATTACTTAATCGTTGTGCGGACAATAAAGATGCACACTATAGTAAATATGCATGTTCCTGCAATCGCACAATTATGCCCAATTATGCCACTGGGAAGAGATCTTTAGCAGGAGCAGGTGCTTGAGCGGAATGCCAGGCGGATATCATTGGCTAATGAGCCGCGCTCCATCCCCATCTCCAGGCCCACCTCTACCTCCATCTCCAACTCCAACTCTGGATTGTTCCTACTGCTCTGTCATAAAAATTAAAATGCATAATCGCGGGCGTTCCGCAGAGGGCGCTTGTTATGGCCCAGACCTTAGATGATCGTACACATGTTGCTTCCATGGTAATTAACATTGCTCGCGATTACTTTTTCAGCCATTTTTTGCCCTTTGCAACAATTGCATGTGCATGCTGAAAATGTGATATTGCCACTTGCCGCTGGCTTGGCTTCTTTTGGCTTGGGTAGGCTGGACGGGATGACGGGGCAACCGGGTCCCGGGCCATTCACATTTGAAGCTAATTAAGCTGGCGTTTAAGCCGCTAGCAATTAGCCGATTTATCACTTGCCACAGAGCCACCAAATCATAAGGAAAAAGGCGTTGGGAACAGCTTTGCAAATGCAAACAAAACCGTCTCTGGTTTGAGCCACAAATGCTTCAGTGGCGCGTCAGCCAGCTCCCTCAGCACCGGCGGCTTTGACTTCTGCGCAGCCGCAGCCGCTATGCGACGCAGATCGCGACTGAGAACGAGCAGAATGGGCCTGATCCCCATATAAAGCGCGAATTCTGGCCGCGATCAAACTCATTTTCAGTTGAACGGGCCTGCTGTGCAGTTTGGACCAAAGTTTCGTTGATCATCATCGCACAGGACTGGACGTCTGATCTTGATCCTGTTAACCAACCGAAGATCTCCGTACTAATTGGTGAGAACTGAGTAAATGTGAAGAGAGTTTCAAGTGTCAAGAGTGATCCAAAATGAGGGCCAGAAGGGGCAAACTCCAAAGAGAACAAAGAAAACCTAAGAAACAAACGTTTGCAAATTACGATCAACTAATAAATCTTCCAAATCTCGGAGACTATATCTTCTACCACAACGCCAAGGGAGCTTTGAATTAACTGATGGAAGGAAACAGTTCCGATTTGAGATATAATCCTTACCCACTGTCTGTCATTTGTATTAGCATCAGAGCTTTGAGGGTTCCATATTAGGAATAGATTAATTATAAATTACAAATTTATCGTATATAGTTTTGATAATTGTAGACTCGTATGTGCAGTCTTAGACCTCATAAAGATCGGATAAATAATGCAACCTGACACATTGCTCGTGCTCAAGTTTGTGATATCTTTTATATGCTTATACCATATGATATGTATCTCCTCCTTTGGGGTGTGAAGCTCTCGCATTTCCATTAGCGCCACAGCGAGTCAGAACAAGCTCTCAAGCTAATCTAATGTTCTGGCCATATTTCGCCGTTGTTTGCACTTGTCGAGGAGGGGAAAAATGAAAATCCACTGGCGCTCGTTGCGCAATTGGAGTGTGAGAAAATAAAATGCCCCGAGGCATGCAAATTGGATCGAAATGAGGTCGGGTGGTCTGTGGGTCAGCGGAAGATCAGCGGTTCACTCAACCACCAATCCCCATGATCGTTTTACAGCTACCACCAGCAATGGGCAACCACATTTGGGGCATCCTCCTGAGCCTGCTGCTGCTGGAACAGATGATGCCGCTGTCCGCGGCAGCCAATCTCGCCCAGCTGGTGAAGAAGCAGAGCCAACAGAAGCAGGGGCAGATGGCGCAGCCAGCACAGCTGCAACTGCAGCAACAGCAGCTGCCACAGCAGCAGGTGCACTCACAGCAGTATGTCCAGGACGCGCTTGCCGAGTCGCAGGAGCTGAAGAGCGACGAGGAGGAGGACCACGATCCGTACCAGATGCTGCAGGAGGGCAAACAGGAGTCCCGGCTGCCGGCCTCCTCCAACTACCCCTGGAGCGCCTATGCCGGAGCACAGGGAATGGCGAATCCTTATGAGAGCGTGCCCAAGATGATGCCCTTCATTGGCTACGCCCAGCCCGTGCTCATCCCATTCCCGCTCTACATAGCCCCCGACATGTTCTATCCCGCCTTCCCTGGGGCCACCAACGACCTCGAGGATGTGGTTATGTCGCGTGCCGCTGGCGGACGTCGTCCGGCTGCACCTCATTCACCGTCCCCGGCCCGAAACTCGCCCATCTACTACGTCCGCCTGCCGCCCACGCCGTACATGTTCGTCCCGAACATGCCACCGAGCCCCTTTGGCAGCGGCTTCTCCCCGCTGCTCACCTACCAGCCGATGCCCTCGTTCTCCACCTTCGGATCCGTGTTCAATCTGCCCGTCAATTTCCTGGCCAACGGCAAGCCCAGCGGGATCTACCAGGTGAATGGATCGCCCAGCGACCTGAGCCAGTTGTCACCCGGCTACGGCGTGCGGCCGCCCACGCCCAGCAATCCCTTCCGGCCCATGTCCTCGCCGACCGCCGGCTACGGTCCCTCCCAGCAGGGATTCGGACTCGCCTCCCTGCCAGTTCCGCAGCACGACTCCAAGCTGACCTCGCTGAAGCGTCCGTTCGTGTTCAACGGCCGTCCCGAGGACATCTACATCCTGCCCAACAACCTAAGTCCGCTCTACAACGATCAGAGCTACTACTGAGTGCAGCGCACAGTCTGCCCCAGGCTGTGGCACCAACAGAAAGTATTACAGAATGCATTTATTAGATCGTAAGATGACATCACATTTGCAAGGAAAAATTGTGAGAAATACACACATACAAAATTGAGTCTTAAGAAATGTTTTTTAATAAGAAAATGTAGAATATATGCAGATTAAAAGATAGAACGCAGATGGAACGTCTATCACATCCATCAACGACCAATACAGTTACATACAGTATATATTCCGAGAACTTTTTGTCTTTCTGTTTCGGTTCCTGCTATATGAATCCTCCTCCTAATATACAAATATATATCCTTGGATACGCTTTCATAATACCCTCCTCAAGGGTATTAAATCCGTAGATCCCTAACGTCTAAACCTAGTATCTTTGTGTAATGCTAAGTCCCTTTTAGTCTTGCGCAACTTTTTTATATATTTTAATTGTATATTTTTGGTCGAAAATATAGTGTGTACAGGTATAACTTATAGTTTAATTATCGTGTATGTCTACATATACAGTCGAATTACCCTAGCTGCAAGAGCTTCAACCCAGAGATGGATATCTTCTGTGTAGTTTCATAATGATTCGCGGTTTATATGAAAGTCTCGCATAACTTAATCACCGATGGCTGCCACTTGGGCGGTCTTTTTCTTGATATACTCCGGGTCACCGAGGTTGATGGGGCCGCCAACCAGCTCCCCAGTCTTCATATTGAACTCGTACACCCGGGGAATGCTGTTGGGAATGTTAACTTTCTGGATGGCCTCTTTGGAGACACCTGTGGGAAATGAAGGAATGATGATTGTCCAGATTTGGACACAAACCGGAAGTACTCACCTTCAATGTGCTTGACTAGGGCCCGTGTCACCGTTCCATGAACACAGATTAAGACTCTAGTGCCGTTGAGTACCTCTTGCTTTATCTCCTTCCAGACTGGTTCCACGCGATCCACACACATTCCCAGGGACTCTGTCATCGGGAACTGACCTGCCGGCACATCGTCGAAAATGGGATTGTTGCGTATCACGTAGTAGTACCGATTTTCCGTATTAATTTCCGGTGGGACGTCATCGTAGCCGCGTCGCCAGGCCTGCACCTGATCCTCGCCATAGATATTCGCGATCTCGCGCTTCCTGAAGCCCGTCAGATTCCCATAGTGCCGCTCGCACAGACGCCAGTCGGCCTTCGTCGGCACATAGGCGCGGTTCATATTGCTCAGTATCAGCTCGGCGGACTTTTTGGAGCGATCCAACACCGAAGTGTAGACCACATCGAAATCAAGTTTCGACTGGAGGAGCGCTGGACTGGCCACCATGCAGGCCTCTCGTTCACCTGGCTCGGAGTGAAGATGATGAGTCTCCATTAGTATTATAGATCAGATTGGTTTGTTCGAATCTGAGTTCAATTACCGTTTTCAGTGAGTGGCGCATCGTGCCAGCCGCAGAATTTGTTCTCCAGATTGAACTCGCTCTCTCCGTGTCGCAGCAACACCAGACGATTCGTCTTCATCTTGAACTGGGAGCTGCAATTAAGATAATGGTGAAGTTAACTGCTTGAATAGGCCCGATATTGTACGATTATACGAGTATAGCTGAATAATCTTTAGAGTTTTGTTTCTACTCGCGAAGTGCTTCTGGTGTTTGGCAGATTTATCGCTAGCTCTGTTTTGCTACTACTGCTAAGTATATCCATTATAAGGCTGTTTGATAATGGATCCCAGCAGATTAGGCGATGAGTGTGGGAACACGGGGAATCCTAATCTACCTCATAACTGGAGATAACGGTAGCTAAGTCGCGCTGGTTAATTTGAATGTGTGTGTTCACCTCAGCGCTGTCTATGCGATTGTTTCGCTTCCGATGCCGATGCCGATGCCGGGGCTGAGCTGGTCTGGACTCACACTCACGCGGCTCAGAAACCACGACGACGACGACAAGACAACAAGACGCGCATTCCTCACATATTTTCGGCTAGTGTACGAACGATAGTATCTGAAAGATACAAACAAGAAGCGAGAGAAAAACGCGCGCTCCGAGAACATGACGAGACAAAACAGAATATAATTCGCATTATCTGATGTCCAGACAGCAGCACACACACACACACACACACACCATTGTATACACCTTTTGCCCTTCCCTCCCTCATGGCTTGTTTCGTTCATCTTCTTTTGTTTTGCTCGGCTCATTCTCCTCTCCAGCACTGTTTTCCTGCATTCCATATTCGCATTCGAATAGATAGGTTTAATCGTGCTCGCGCCTAATTCTTGGGCCATTAATGGTACTCCAGCAACTGCCTTTGATTCGACCCTTTTTTGTTTTCGTTACCATTTCCACAAACTAATTTGCAGCCACAGCCTTTTTTCTTACGATCACTTTACCGAACTGGACAGATTTTAAACAATTTAAGCAATACCTACATGTTCTTGTTGGTACAAAAGGTACAACGTTTTTGAAAACAATGAACAGAGTGAATATTTCAGTGTGATATAACAAAAAGAGAGCAATAGAAAACAATCGAAATGGATTGTAGAAATATAAATAGAACAAAAAAGAATAGTCTAGACGCTATAGTAATCTTAACCCTGAGAAGTCAGATCAGATTGTTGGAGTTGAATTATGAATGAAAACCAATATCAAAAGCCGTGGCTGGAATACCATTCATCTCTTCGATCGCTGATCCGCCCAACACTTACGCTTGGAACGCATATTTATTCTTTTGTTGCTCGTGTTGTTGTTTGTTATTGGTTGATTGTTACTTGTTTGACGTAGTTTTTGTTAAGGTTGCGTTAGATACGTTACAGTTTGCTTCGCAAGAACTTGCGGATAGCCATAGTTCCTCCGCTCCAGTTCCCAATGGCTGCTGCGGATGCTTCTGCTGCGGATGCTTCTGCTGCCGGCGCTTTGTACTAAGCAAAAATTCGTATTGGCAAACAATTTTATCACTGCTTTCGATGGGTTGGACCACGCGTCGCTGTGACGCTTCGGATCTCTCACACACTCTTGCAGTCGGTCGACAGCTGATGCTCTCTGCTGCAGAGCTGATGCACTGCTTCTGCTCTTGTTGTTGGTTTTGCTTTACTGTTGGCGCTTTTCGAACAGCTGCGATTGGAAAAATCAATAACAACTGCAGTTTTACACTAAATAATAAAGAATATTGAATGAAGGGCTCAAATTTAGAAAACTTTCATTGAAATGATTTGCCAGTCCTACGTAGATTTAAAAAAACTAACCCAAGATCTTTTTGATAAGAATACCTGGAAGAATTCGAAAGCTCTTTCAACATAAAAAGTAGCGAAACATTCAGAAAAAAAGGGTGATCCTATTTTTTAGCTTATTATCCGTAAACGTCCAACCAATTTATACACACTCAGCATCTTTGGAAGAACATATGTATGTACATTTATTTATTCTCAAGATCCTCAAGAGATATTAAGTTTCATTACCGAAAAATTTGAATAATTTCGTTGATAAAGGTATGCACTTATGTAAATATATTAATGGTAAAGTGGTACAGCACAACATAGTTTTCGAATATTTTATAAAACTGTGATAAGCCTACCAACTTTAAAAATACACGATTACTCCGCACTGCGAAAGGGTTCTTGCTGCTCAAGTTATTGCTATGGAAAGAGGCTCTTTCAGGCAGAGCAGCTTTTTATAACAAAAACCCTGGAGATCAATTAGCCTGCCAGCGAAATAATTAAAATGAATGCACCTGAAAGCTGCTGGCAATACGCTCATGTTCCGAAACTTATGTCACTCTTTTGCACTATACATATACTCGTACATACTAGTATGTACATATGTACCGTACCTTTAAATATCCGTATCTTTAAACCTGCTAAGAGCAGAATTAATCTACCCAGCCCTTCTGCCTTCAAAGTTGATTTTTCAACTTTCAAACTTAAAGCAGAACTCAAGAATTCATAGAAATCGGAAACATTCCATGTGCATAATGGAATATTGGAATATTTTAAATAATTGTCTTTATGGCTTCTGGCTAATTGAAAATGTCCAATATCCAGATAATATATGAATTATGCAAGCCAAGTATTATTTGGTATTTCCATGTCACATAATCTCCAGAACTACTTTTTACCTTTCGCTTTCTTTAAAAATCTTTATGAACGAAATTTGCATTCCCATTGATATCTGTACAGTATAATAATTATATTGTATCTTTCCATTTTCATAATCGAACAAGCATAAATTTTGATTATAACATTGATTCCATCTTCTGTATTCCTACCTAGCTCTCTCATTATTTCGGTTGAACGAAGTGCTTAGGTTACGGCACTGACTACCAGAGGTATTTGCCAGTCGAGCCCAGATAACCATCTCCTCGAGAGCTGCTACTGCTGCTCCGTCGAGCGTTTGACAATGCTGCTCTCAGTGGAGGCCCTTTTGGCAGCCAATATAAAGGTTTTGGCCAACTCTGGCCACGGCTCAGTCTGCAGAGAAACGTGCGTGGATCTCTTTGGTGTGGTACGGATCGTGTCTTTCATCTTGTATCTTTCGGTTGTGTAGTGTGTGCCTTTTGTGGGTGGGTGGAAAATGCATTTTCCTGCTTTTGATGACTTCTATCAGCGACTTTTGTTTCTGCTGCCGTTTGCAACGAGTGAGTATTGATGCATTGGAAACTGATTACGGATCATTACGGATGTATCTGCAAATCAACCAAGCGCAACCAAAGAATATATATCTTCAAAAGATTGCCGTTTCTAAAGTGGATCTCCTTGATATTGAGACGCCAGACACCGATCGAAGCCGATCTACCTACCATCTCCCCTACCCGTCGTGGGCGCTGGAGCATAAGAGACATGTCCACTGTCTATCCCCCCAATTTTAGGCCTATGTGATTGTGATTGTGATTGCGTAGCTCCGCAGAGGGTCTGGTCTGGTCTTGTCTGGTCTGGGACCCGACGAATTTATGAGCCATCTCCAGGCCAAAGTGAGCTGAACCCCCGTGTGTCACACTCAAAGCAAATATAACTGGCATCGTCTAATGGATGGCAAACAATCCAGTGGCTTGTAAATAATAACAATAATTAAATTTGCATGCACAAATGCTCCATGAAAGCCAATGAGCGCGTCAATTGCGGAGGCGGAGTAGATGGCGCAGTCCCAGTCGTGCCCACAGATGGTAGATGGTGGATGGGATGGTGGCTTTTCATTGTTATAAAACCTGCCGCCGAACAATGTAAAGAAACGAAAAGGAATATCCATGATCTGCCCCCGAAATAAAGCAATTAAGCCCCACTTAGAGGTAAATCAGAGACTCTACGAAATGGTTGGAAATCCGAATACCTCAGTGAGGAAATCGCGGAGTGAAACTTCCTAATCGTTTGCAAAGTGACCAAGCCTATTGCCAAGGGAAAGATTACCCAAATAGTGGAAACAACCATTACAAAGACAATAAATATAGAGATCTTCAAGAAAATTGTTTTTAAAAATGGGATTACAATTCAACTAAGAGAGTATTTTCCCTTTAGATTTTGGTACTGTAGAGCGAAAATTCAACTACGTTGATTCCAACAAATGGCATGAAACTTTTCCCCTCTGTGGCGGGGCAGAGCAGTCACCGATTGCCATCAGTAGGCACAAGGTGATACCCATTGGCCTGCCTCCCTTGCAATTCGCTGGCTACGACGAGCTGTTCCAAGATCTCTTAAGAATACAAAACTCAGGACATACAGGCAAGAAACATTTTTATCCCTGAAAAGCACTCGAAAATTGTATTTTAGTAAATTTTGCCATTCCTCCCACGGTCTTTGGGGAGCGTCCCTCTGTGACTGGCGGCCTGCTGCAGGACTTTTACGAGGCCAGGGAGGTGCACTTCCACTGGGGCTCACAGCAGAGCAAAGGCTCAGAGCATTTGCTCAATGGCCGGCGGTACGATCTGGAAATGCATATTGTGCATCGCAACACCAAGTACAGCACCACTGAGGAGGCACGAAACAACACCGACGGCCTGGCTGTGCTGGCAGTGCTCTTCAAGGTGGTTCGGGTGAGTGAGGATCGGGTAGCTCTCGAGAGGCTCGAAAACTAATACCAAATCATCTGCCTGCAGACAGGACCCTCCTTCTACCAGCCAGGACTCACCGAGATCTTTGGATCGCTGCTGCACCTGGGAGACTTCAACAGCACCTATGTACCTCCAGTTCTGATCACACTCGGATCGCTCTTGAGCAATCTGGATCGGGGGAACTTTTACTGCTACAAGGGTTCGCTGACAACGCCGCCCTGTTCGCCCTCTGTGCTGTGGCACGTGTTTGCCGAGGTGCTGCCCATCTCCCACCAGGATCTGCCAAAGTTCTGGCAACTGCGGAACCGCCATGGCCGACCATTGCTAAACAACTTCCGGCCACTACAGTCGCAGGAGACGCGACAGGTCTTCCATCGGCGGCCAGCAGATCAGTGGCTCTGGATATAATGGTTAAATAATTAAAGATAATTGTATATAAATTTCAACTTTATTTGGGAAGAGTTCGCTGGCTTCAGTTCGGATCTCGTCTACCTATTGGCTCTTCTATAGCGAGCCAGGAAAGAGGCCAGTAATCCAAGCTGGACGGCGCAGAGGAGCTTGTTCAATGATGGGTAGCGAGGGAACAGCCCCAATGGCACCTCTAGTGTCGGGGGCGATATGAGCTGCATCTGTCGGGGGCTGCGGACCATAATGGCCAAATGATTAGCCTGGTTGCCAGTTCTGAGCGTGGTCTGGATCTGGGTCTGGGTCTGGGTCTCCTTCGACTTCAGCCCCGCCAAGGGCCAGCTCATACGAGGCACAAAACGATAGTTCGCTGGCACGGTGTGGTATTCTCGATCTCGACCGTCGAAGGGTGGACCCGGTTTGCGGACACGAGGATTGAATGGGGGATTGAAGGGCGGCTTGACCACCACCTTGCGACGCGACTGACTCCCGTCGGACCTCCGCCTCGCAAGGTCGTGCTCGAGACTGGTATCCATCGGTGGCTTGGACTGCAGGTCTGGCTCCTTGATGAAGGGATTCTTACCCTTGTAGCCTACTTTCTTGTCCTGATCCTTGCGCAGCAAGCTTCTCAGCTTCTCGGTCACTTCATCTGCCTTCAGTGGCTGGGACTCCTTCTGGGTTTCCTGGGCATCAGGTTTGTCCGTGTTGGCTGTCGATGGCGGGTTGTCCTTAGGAAGAGGTTTTCGCTCTTCGGTTGTGGACCTTGGATCTTCCAGCACTTCATAAGTGTTCTCCCGTTGACCCTGATCCGACTGTGGCTTCGCTTTCCTCATGTTTGGTGGAGGCTCGTACTTTTTCACTACATTTGGTGGACTATCTACCTTTTTGGGGGGTGGTTTCGGTGTGTCTCTCTTCAGGAAATGCGGCATGTGTTTTCTCACTTCAATTATTGGAGCCTCCATCTTTTTTGTGACTTTCTGATCGCTTGGTGATGGCGTATTGGATGTTGGTGGGGCCTTCGAACCGTCATCAGTTTGATGTGACGATGTTGGCTCCTCACCAGCCTCGAACTGAATGGGGTAGTCCTTGCGCAGTGGCTGCTGCTCCTGAGGAGTCAGGGGCAGTGTCTGCGGCGATGGAGGTGGAATCGTACGCGGCGTACCCTGAAACTGGGGCGAGCCTTCCGGAATCTTCTGTCGCTTCGATGGAGGAGCCTTCACCGGGACTGGCTTTGGCACCGGCGTCTGCGGCTGTTGAGCATCGCGTTTCTTCTGGGCAGTCTCGCCGGATTCGTAGTTCTCGACAGAATTTCCAGAAGCCTCGGGCCTATGATCTACCTCTTGCTGCTGTTTGTGGAACACTTCTTGCAGGAGGTTATTGAGCTTATCGAGCTTCCTTTGGGCATTCTTCTTGTTCACGTAATACTCTAAAAAACGCCCATCCTTCTTGTTTTCTGTTTCTGGATTTTCTTTGTTTTGCAGCCAGTCCCATTCGTGATCGCCCGTGCTGCCTGGAGTCGGAGTATTCCCCTGGCCATCCTTCTTTTCGTTGCTAAAGCAACGATGATTGGCCTCATCGAGGCTCTGGTGTGGCTTCTTCTCGCCATTCTTTGCTTGCCTCTGAACATCGTTCTCCCGCTCTTCTGCCAGCACCTGCCTCTTGTCCAGTTCCTTAAGCATTTCTTCATCTTCAGTGATCATTTCCGGTTTGCCTTCTTCTGCGTCGTTCAGCAAAACCCTGATAATTTCCTTCTCTTCTGCAGTCTCGAGTTCCTGCTTTCGATGGTCCTCCAATTCAGTTCTGATGATCTCTTCAGCACTAAGAAACATATTCTCTTCAATCTGTGAGTGTTTCGGTTCTGTTTCTTCCTCTTCCGCTTCCGCTTCCACCTCCTTCCACTTTTCAAATTTTTCTTCTGCCAGGCTGTCTTGATTATTATTTTCCCTGGGTACCGCCTTGTCCTTTGCCTTTTCAAGCGCCATTTCACGTCTGACCATCTCTTCAACACTTAGATACATATTATCCTCAGCCTGTAAGTGTTCCGGTGGTCTATCTTCCGCTTCCACTTGCTTCCACTTCCTAAATGATTCTTCTGTCAGGCTGTAAGGCTTATGTTTCATGGGTACCTCCTTGTTCCCTGTGGAATCTGACATTTTAATCACATTTGCCTTTTCCAGCTGGTTATCTACTGCGGAAACCTCAAGATTCTGTACAGGGTTATGGGTAAGCATATATGTCAAAGTCTGCGTATACTGTTTCATGTTCTCAGTGTCATCTGCTCTGGATAGCCTTTCTGTCCTGGGCTTTATTATTGACTCAAAGCGTTCTTTGTCCTCCAGACTTTCAAAAACAAATTTATGTTCAGGCCCACGTTTTGGCTCCTTCTCTGAGGGGACTTTAGGAGAATTCTTGGTCTGGTCATGCTCCAATATCTCGGCTTGCTTCAAATTAGCGTTTTCCGTTTGATTTTCCGGCTTAGGTTGACGATCGTTATCCTTCATCTTCGAATTTTCACCCTTTGTTGCCTTATCCACACCGGTGCTGGTTTCTTTCCCAGATTCCTTCGATGCGTTTAATTTATTCTTGGGCTCCGGCGTAAAATCTCCTTTGCTCTCAGAGGTGAAGCTTTCGATTTTTCGCCGTATGTCTTTAGTATAGGACAACGGTGGCTTTGTTAGTTTATTAGGGAAAACTTCACCCTTTCCTGATGAAGCTGGCTCCTTTTGTTTACCTGTCACGGACTTTATATTCAGGCCCTGGAATGTGTTGATGAATGGCCTAGGGCGCTTCTCCATGGATTCTTTAATCTTCTGCGAAGACGTCCCTTCGTCCACAGCGTCCACTTGTTTCATATTAGAATCCTGGAATGGCGGTTCGGTGGAGCCTTTATCGTCGCTCCCAATGATCATTGGTGGTGGCTGATCCCTTAGCCAAGTTTTGTCAACGGGCAAGTCCTTCTTGGTTTTATCTGGAATATTTTCAGCATCGGCATTCTCAGTACATCGGCAATCATCGGACCCCGATGTGGAGCCAACGATGCTGTCCTTATCTCCAGAGCCCTGAGTCCCGGAGGCAACGGTGGGTTGGCTGGAGTCATTGGACTCCAGCCAACCACTTATCTGTAGGCCCTCCTTCTCATTTACATGCCAGGGACTTGTCAGTGTGTGCTTTTTGGCTTGGTTTGCATCATAGACCGGATTCCAGCTGCCATTCTCCGTCAATTCCCGAAAACTTTTCTTTTTTTTTGTCTTATTCAGAGCCTTTTCCAAGGCCGACAAAGGTTCAGCCAGATCTTCCGATACGTTTTCCAGACCGTCATCAATGCTACTCTCTTCGTAGAGGAATTGTGAAAAGGATGAGTCGCTGCAAGGGATAAGGGATAAGATGGTCATGCGTGCAGTCAACCTATGATGAGGTAGAACGCATACCTCAAGTCAGGGTGAGTCCGCAGGGTTTCCAGTATTGTATGCGGGGCCACCTCGTTCTGGCAAATTCGGTGTATGGCCGTAAAAAGGGGAAATCTGTGGGTGTTCGGGATGGTAAAAGTGTGGATCGATTGGGCGCCATTCGAAGCTACTTACTCATCCTGCATGTTCTCCATCTCCAGAAAGTCGTTCAGCCCGGCGGCAATCAAGGGACCGAGCAGTTTGCGGCCATTTAAGAGAGTGGCCTCAATCTCCTGAATTGTCTTTCCAGAAGTGATAAAACTTTTGGCAAAGGTGACATTCTTATCGACTACAGGACATAAAAGTACAAGGAAATATAAGTGGCCTTTCCGGCTCTGTAACTGTGTAACTCACCATAGGTGGAGGCCACCGAGTTCGCCACGGCGCAGCTCTCAAAGAATGTGGACATTTTGGCGGAAGGGAAGAAGGCCATTGTGAAGCGCATCATCTCCTTGATACCCAGATGGATGGCAGCTACGCGAGCATTTTCGCCCAATTTCAGGCCATCAACGAAACCCGCACCCAAGGCAATGATGTCCTTCAGCGTGCCACACAATTCCACGCCATCAACGTCATTGATGGTAGTCACCCTGCAGTTTTCGGTTTGAAGCACCTCGACCAGGAGCCGCGCATCATCTTCATTGTTGCATCCAATGGTAATCTCACAGAGCTTGCCCTGGGCCATTTCTATGGCGCTTTTGGCCGACATCATCGAGTAGCACGGTATGCCCAGATGCTGGCTAATCGCGTTCGAGAACAGATCGATTTCGCCATCCCAAACGTGAGCCAGTCCCTTGACCATGGACAGGGCAATGGCGGTCTTCTTCACATGGCCGGCCAATATATTGCAATACGATTTCACAAAGTGTTGTGGTGTGGCAAAGATCATGATATCGGCATTCTGTGCAGCCGCCAAAATATCATTTACTGCAATCTGCAAATAAATAAATTTATTAATTTGGCCTGCCGATTGCTGCAGCGGCTGTAGCTCTCTCTCTCTCACCAAATTGTTTGGCAGCCTAATGCCAGGCAGATACTTGATATTCTCGTGGCAGTTGTTCATCACCTCAGATAGGTACTTGTTGTGAACCAGCTCGTCATAGACATAGATGTGTGCACGGCTGTCGAAGCCCTCCTTCTGCTGAACATTCTTGCTCACAGAGGCTGCGATTGCCGAGCCCCTGAAATAGGAGGGTTATAGTCGATATTAGCCAGAAACACTATGTCCACCTACCAGCCCTCCGAACCAATGATGCACACTTTCAGCTTTCGGACCATCTTGAATTTTGTTCATGAATTTCTGTATTTTCTGTATGCAATTATAGACCAAAGAGCGACCAAATGATTGACCACGGGGGCAGATGATTTTGAATTTATTGTTGAATTTGGATAAACAAATGTTAAATACTAACAGCCCTACTCTGAAGTGTGAAACATGGCTGAACGTTCACGTACAGCTAACTCCCCACCTACTGTACGTGCATGGATAGGAACTCTGGCCCCGATGGCAGCTCTTGTTTGTGCCTCGACTTTGGCTTCCTCCTCGGAAATCGCACGGATCTCGAACTCGGTGATGATCTGCGAAATACGACTCTTGGCCTCGGCTGCCAGTTTCGGCGGCAGTCCCTTGACGCTGATGCAGGCGCTCTCAAAGAACAAATCGTAGCTATTGCGTTGCTCCACGGGCGCAGGGGATTCACTAATTGATGTGGGTACAGCTGCAGCAGTATAATCAGTCTGCCCCCCCACTGGCGACACTTTCTGAAAGAAAGCTGCCAGTTGCTCACGGTTATGCGTAATGCTCTGTAGCAGCTCCTCTCGATTCTGTGGCGCTGGCTTCATGTACGGAAGAAATTGGCGTTTCAGGGGCATGGCGAAACGTTGAATTCGCGGCTGTTTGGTTAATTCCGGCTGCAAGTAAACGAAGATTAGCTAGGCTAGCTTTACAACGAAGTCAACAATAATACTCTAAACAAACCTTTACATCGGCTTCGGCGATGGTGTATGCCTCTTCCAGTATGTTTTCCTCGTCCTTTATTATTATGTGGCTATTCCACATTTGTCTGTTTGGTTAATTGGCGTCTTGAGTGGATATTTTCCACCAATTACGAGGTTTTTTTGAAAATCGCTCAAATCGGGCAATTGTTTACAATAAAGCCGCCAGTGTTAGTGATGTGCGTCACTCGATTTCCACTAGACAATCGGCAAATATCGGTATTTAAATATATTTCAAAATTGAAATTAAAAATTAGAGCTATTTTTTATTGTTCTGTTACATTTCAGCTGAGGCCATCAAAGTGTGGTTGCTGCACCAGAGCACATCCACTGCTGCTCTGCCTGAGCAGATACAAGCTAGCTGGTGGCGTCTCCAGGGGCATCTCAATGACATCCCCGTTTGTACTGTTATCATTAAGGCCCCGCAGCTCCAGCTCGCAAATGAGCTGCGAAACGCGCATTTTGGCTTCCGCCATGAGCTTCGGCGACAGAGCCTTCACACTGGAGCTGACGCTCTCGAAGAACAGGTCTACGTGGTTTTTCTCCTTGGGTGGCGGGGGGTGCGTCGACTGGCTGCTCCCCATCAGTTCACGGAAGGACTCCATCAGCTCGTTTTTATCCTGATGAATTTGCATCAGCAGCTTGAGACCCTCCTGATTAGATGCGGAAGAGCCGGTGGTGCGCTTTGTGGTCATCGCCGAGTCGTTCCCCAGCGCATTGGCTTCTTGCAGAATTCCCGAATGAGATTCGACATTTGGCTTGTTGTTTGCCTCCGACTCTAATAGAATTTCTTGTTTGGGGACGGGACACGTGATGCTGTGACTCGCGTGATCAATACCAGTTGGTAATGCATCGATTTCGGTGGTTATTACGTGCACGGTGGTGGCGATAGGTTCCGGAGACACAGCTTCCAGGTGATCAGGTTCATTCACATCGGACTTTGCAGGTGATGCCTGCTTGAGCACTTGCATGGGCCGCTTCTGGAAGTATTTACTCCGTTCTTGCCGCACAGTCAACTCGTTTCGTATTGCTCCCTCGCCTTTGGTAATCAGGGCCTCCAGATTTCGCTTGTGCTTCGTGGTTCGCTCGTGCCGGACGAGATGACATCGATTGCAGTCCAGGCGGCAGTGGCAGGCGCGACAGAAGGGCTTATTCGGATCATCGTCGGAACGTTTCAGCCACGGCTCGAATAGGTTTAGCCACTTCTCGCAAAACCTTTGATTATACTTTGGTTTTCCGGCGCCACCGCCTCCAACCTTCTTGTCGTTTTCCTGCTTAACGGATTGTTTGATCTTTCGTACCAATTTAACCCTGCCCTCCTTCCTGTAATTGATTGCACATATTTCAAGCATAAGTTATCTCTATCAATCTTTCGGCTTACCATTCTAAGACGGAAGTATTTTCGGAAAAACTCATCCTATATACAATTTATTTATTTACTTGTTGTTGTTATCAGCTGTCCAGGGCTGGCGAACATCGATTACACAATTCCGCCTACCAACACTGGCCTTAGATTTGGCACAACTAGGTAGACATTTTCATTTATTTTAATTATTTATTTAACTTTGGAACGAGAACAAGTAAGGATATATGTGTAATATGTTAGCCAATTGTGCAAATGCACGGGTCCAAGCAGAGCCAAAGCGGAAGAGCCTGCATAAATTCAACACTGGACATTTTGTGAGTGTGTATAAATATTATTTGCAACGGCAAAAAAGCAGTGGATAAGACATTATTTGTCTAGCAAGCGGGACGTGCGTATTCGCCTTCAAGAATATTGTTTAAATTCGTAATTTGAAATCGTTCAGTGACCGAAACGGACGGATGCGAGCGGGTTATGCTTCTACATTTTCAATTTTACCGATTTGTAAACCATTAATAACTCTGTTCAAGCGGCTAATCGAATCTACTACTACTACTGGAATATTTATGATAATATATTGGCATTATAAATGCTCATATGAGGCTAACTTGCCAACGGGCAAAGTTGCAACGGGCACTACAAAAAAAAATGTATCTTGAGACATTAACTAGACATTTCTATTCTTTAGAAAAAATGCTGCTTGCAATATTCCCAAATAAATAGTGACCCTGTGACATGGACATTGAGAGAGCGCACCACTCCGAATTGGGGTATTTCCACGGCATAGTCCAGGAATCCAATTAGATCCGCTGGTATCCCATGCTTTTCGTGCCTGAAACGATGGAAGCGATGGGATTATATTGTGATTGCGATACCCGATCAGAAAGAACTCACCCCAACAGTAGGACACACTTTTTGGGGAACTTAAAGTTGGCAAAGCTAACGCTGTGAGCGGTCTGCTCGGCCCCGACCACTCTAAAGCCCTCCATTTGTTTTTCCATCAGAAATGCAGCAATGCAACTGGGCTTCAACTCGATAATGTTCAGGGTCTTCTCAGCAGTCATGCTGAAATTTAAATATGCATTAGATCCGCATATACCATGTGTGTTCTTAGCTATAAACTTAACCTTAAGTTGGTGAAGTCGCTCTTTCCCGTTTGGGCCTTGTTGCCCAAAGCCAATGTTTGAACACCCAAGACCTCACAGGTACGCGCCAGACCGCCCAGATTGGGCAGCTTGTCGATCAGGGAAGCCACTACAACCAGTTGCTTGTTTGTGTCTACAGCACACGTTGTGACCAAATCAGTGTTGGGATATATATCGCCAATAGGATTCATTTTTCTCTGTACGTTGCCGTTGATGGAACCTTCCAGCGATGTCGGCTCAGCCAATGATCCAGCTTTCTTCGTTTTAAAGAACGAACGAATGGCTCTAATCGCGTCCTCAAGCATTGAAGTTCCAGCTGGCACTGAAGGTCTTATGCATTCATCGAACGGTGCATCTGTCATATAAAGGATGGCTTCTGCCGCAAAACAGGGATTTAATTTCTGGCTCCTCATTAGAAGAGATAGCATGAGACGTGGTTCCTTTCCCAGTTCTTCGAACTTGCCGCCCAACGTAGTTTCTATCGAAATCTTCAGGGCAACAGCTATGGGCTTATGAATGCTGTAAAAAAAATTGTTAAGCACTTCATGCATTCGATATGTTTGTAAGTGCCTTACCCGGTTTGCTCGCACTTTACCGCCAGCTTGTGCAGAACCAGTTGGGCAAGCACACGGGTTTGAAAGTGGGCGCCCATGGTGAGCGGTAAGAGTGTCGTAAAAATGGCATCCAACTCTTCTGGCTTTAGGGATTCCCAATTGGCCATGCAGTACAGATGCACCACGCTAGTGAGCGACAAATGTTTACCGGGAGTGAGGTCAGGGAACAGCGATAGCTTATCCAATAGTGGATCGATGCCTGGCAACATATTAGACACCAGGCACTCGAACATGTAGCTTATATTGAGTTGGTCATTGGGCCACAAGAGAGCCTCCCACAGTAGATCGGACCACTTTACAAGGTCGGGTGAGCCCAGAAACAGCAGAGCCTTGCAAATGCGCATCTTAGTTCTGTGCTCCTTGGAGTTTTCAAAGTAGCGCGGCTTTTTGGCCGACAGCTCCTTGTTGGCCCACAGCAGTTCCTGAAACAGTCCGTTCACATCGCGAGACTCGTCACGTAGGTGGAATGCGGTGCTTAAGAACCTCGATCGACTCAAGGCATCTTCATCAAATACATTCGCGATTCGGTAGACTTGGGCGGCCTCAATGCTTTAAAAGAGTATACATATATTTAGAGTGTGCGCTCTGCCATTATCACAAGTCTTTGCTCTCACCGTGCATCTCCTGTGGTGGTCTCTCCATTAAGCAATTGTCCCAGGACCAGGGGCATCGGCAATGTAAAGTTCTCGAATGCTTCGAGACAGCTCGGCCGCTGCTGCAGCAAATCCTTAACGAATTCCTCATATTCTTCTTGCTTCAAGTAGGCAACAGCGTATTTGAGAATATATCGAACATAGGAATTGCTGAAACCCAAACTATGAGTAAAATCAATTGGAAACAATGTTTCAGACTCAATGCTTACGCCTTGGCCTTGTTGCAGATGGCCAAACGGGCTACCAGAGCTGCCAATATGACGCCATCGTCTGGCAATCGCTCTCCCTGGCATGCCAATAGCCAGCATAGAAGGGCAAATGTCTCTTGGCTGCCCCTATCCAAAAGATCCAGGGGTCTTAAGTTCATCTGTTCTATCTGGCGCCAATTGGTAAAGTTGATTCTAACAAAGAGATCCACACTTTGTTCGAGCACATACGACCTCTCATCCCTTGACTCGCAGTTGAACTTCTCGAGCAAATGCTCCTGCATCTGTGTGAGACTCATGGCCCCGGGCTTAATCAATAGTGGATCAAAACCATACACGGAATAGTAGCTCGCGTACTCTTCCTGAAAATCGGAGAAGTCGCAGTCTAGGAAAACAGGGACAAGGCGCCACCAACCGTGCTGCGCCTTGGGAACGGTTTGTAATTGCCACAAAAATGCTTGCAACAGATTACAATCTGGGCAGTGCTGCGAAACAATTTCATAGCAGCGCTTGCTGAAGTACGGCAGATGGGCCCCAAAGTTTTTGCATTTGCTGATTTTGTCCGTCAAGCGAACGTGGTCCATATAGATATCGCTGGTATTAAATAGCGACTCCACAAACATCATATAATCGCCCAAGCTCAGGCTCTCGATTGTGTCCTGTAAAACATATATGTATACAGCTCTAATGTCCATGTCTGGTATAGGTTACGATACTTACATGGAAGAGGAAAATCACCCGCTCGTTTATTAGCTTTCTCAGTGCGGGATTCTGCAAGATGCGCACTCGAGCGCATAGCTTGAAGAGCAAATCCTTGGCAACAGGTGATACCTGATCCGGATGTATGCACCGCAACCAATGAAGCAATGGGACACAGTGCCAGGGAATCTGTACCAGTGACTCCATTAATACTTCAGAGCTCAGATCTCCCATAAACTCCCTTGTCTGCTTCTCCGACAGGCGGTCTTTGGTCTCCCAATTGAAGAGCTGCGTTCTGTTGGTGGCCGCCAAAAACTCATAGACCAGATCGGTACTAACTACCCAGAAGAGGCTCAGCTTAGTGAGGAAGTATTTGAGTGTCCATTTCAACACTAATATATTGTTATCCTGCAGGAGACGGATGCACAAGATGCGCAACCAACCCTCCCAATCATCGCTCACGTCGGACGACTTCAGGGCCAGACGCGGCAGCAGAGTAGTCAGTGTGGGCAGCACCAGGTGGGACTGCTGCTCTTCTAGGCTCTCCATAATGTCCACATAGGCGGACCACTTTCTTTCACTGCACTGCAGTCGATCGAGTATCTTTGGTTGTCCATCGCCAGCGTGCGCTTCATCAATCTCTAGAATCTTTCGCATGATAAAGCAGGCAGACCTGCGGTCTTCACGCATGTCCGATTGCAATAGATTCTGTATGATGTCAAAAAGTTTCTGGCAAAATTCGATTCCCAGCTTCGCAAGAAAGTCGTCAAACAGATGCAGCAGGATTTGCGCCACATATGGCTGACGGTCGCGACTCAAACTGAGACACCAAAGCTGCTCAAGCAGGTACTTTCCATCAGCGCCGGAAAGCTTTCGCTGGTGCAGTTGCACGCAAACGAGAAGATTCGCCACCAGTTGCCGCCGGGAAGCTGTGTCCTCCCTATTGCCACAAATCACCACCGAAACAAGCTTGTGAAACACCTTTGCGCCGAATCGGACATTCCACTTGCTGTTGGCCTGCATCAAGTTATACATGCACTGCAGGACTTTTTTCAAGGCCAACTCGTTCTCCTTGTGCATATCAACCAGGTCGTATAGCATTTCATCCAATTCGGCGATATCTCCTTGTAAATTCTGATTTTGAATATATGATTCGAGGGCCTGAACAACCGCGTGCGAGGTTGTTGGCGTCGTGGCTTTGGTACCCGGCAGAGACATTGCTTCTTTTCACTTCTTCTTTTTCAATGTCAGGTCCTTCTGGCGGCACTCTACAAGTTTCTGCAGCTCTACAAGTCTCCGGCACTCTACAAGTGAACACTTCCTCCTTCGTATGCAAATATTTCACAATTGACTGCAACTCCCCCGTGCACATTGTATTTATAAACCAGCCCCACAGTATCGGCATGAGCTCCACAGCTGTTTGACAGCCAATTGTTGTGACCAGTGCAGCCGATTACGCTTTTTTCCCGCCAGATGTTGTTTTTTAGATTACCTTAAAGTTTAAAATATACAAAAATTGAATGCGATATTAATTTAATAAAGAATGAAAATATTAGCGACAGACTAGGTTTCGGAGGCTTACTTCTATAAAGATTCTGGTGAAAACAGCTGATTTCTTGACCTAACAGCTGCTGCCAGTGTGCCATGAAACTAAGCAGGACCAAGCATGAGTATTCTGTGCATAAGGTAAAGTTTTATTGTCAGTGAAAAAATATTACTAGTTTTTGTTTTAAATATAAAAGGATGGCTTGCAAAGACTAAGAAAATGCTGTTTTGTCTACGACGTGCCACATAATTACCTAAGCATAATTGGTAGAAGCCACAGAGCTGAATGAGCTTGTGAAAACTATATAAGATACATATTAAATTTAATATAAAATTCTTAGCACCAATATTTACCCTTTTTTTTATTAAAAAATGTTCAGCTTTTTCTTTCATCTTCTTCAAGTTAGAAACAGCTTTTTTTCTGATAAAAAGCTTGCAGCACTGGTTGTGACTGTCCCGATAGTGTGCCATCACTATTATATTTAACTGTTTCATTTCATTTGTTAATGAAAATTAATAAATCCTATTTTTTTAACATGATATTTAAAATTATAGAATTGAACAATTTTCCTTTATTAAAAATTTAAAATACGCATTTTGAAATTTTCTTTACCGCCTATAAATCGCGATTACGTGTGAATATCGAATTTATTTGCTTACATTTTCAAATTTCGCGCCAATTATCGCTAATGATTTGTTTATTTTTCTTGCTTTATTTTAGCCTGGTCATTTTTTATTTCATCTCCGAGGAGCTTAATGCACTTTTTTGGCTGTTTCTTTTTGCCTTCCCCGGCCTGTTTTTCCTTCTCAGCTTTGGTTTGCTGCCGAACGGAGAACAGGCCAAAGCTGATCTTGTCGGCCCTCATTGCGTCTACAATAACGACGGTTACCTTCTTGCCGGGCTCCATTATGTCCAGTTTGGGCAAGAGCTTGATGCCCATCTTCAGGATTTCCCCGAAGTCCGTGCAGCCCGTGGCCATCTCATCAATGATCACAGGATAAACACCGCGAAAGATCACCGACTGACGAGCCTGGGACTTGCAACCAATGAGCATAACGATAGGGCAGGCAGGACGCATCTGGCTAACCAGCTGCGGGATCATCGAACACGGACTGGCTACGATAATTGCCTTCGCATGGGCCGTGGTGGCCGCCTCAACGATTGACATGGACACGGCCGATATTTGGTTAGCTGGCGCCATCCGTATGACGCTCCTTACGTTGTTCTGGATGCTCTCGTACCACAGAACCGCCTCCACCTTGGAGCATATTTTCGCCATGCACTTGATGCACTCGACGGGATACTTTCCTTTGGCGGTTTCGCCCGACAACATCACACAGTCGGCCCCATCGAAGATGGCATTAGCCACATCTGATGCCTCGGCCCGTGTAGGTCTCGGCTTTCCGATCATCGAATCCAGCATTTGGGTGGCACAGATAACGGGTTTTCCCACCTGGTTGCACTTGGCTATGATTGCCTTTTGCGCCAGGGGCACCTCATCGGTGAGAATTTCGATGCCCAGGTCTCCGCGAGCCACCATTATGCCATCGGAGGCAGCGATGATACTGTCGATGTTCGCCATACCCTGTTGGTTCTCGATTTTGGAAATGATCTTGATGTTCTTTCCCTCCGGTCCCAGCACATTGCGTATCTCGGCTAGTGCCTGGGCATCGCGTATGAACGAGGCGAAAACCATATCCACCTTCTGCTCCACACCGAACTTCAAGTCCGCCTTGTCTTTTTCGGAAACGGCAGGAAGATCCACCGCCACGCCTGGCAGATTCACGCCCTTGTGCGAGCCGAGCTTGCCTCCGTTCTCCACCTCGCATGTTACTTCATCGCCAGCCACCTGCTTAACCTTCAGGGCGATCAGTCCGTCATCAATGTACACCCGATCCCCTGTCTTGATGATACTCGGCAGCTTCTTGTAGTCCACATAAACCCTCTCCGCGTTGCATTTCTTCTGAAGCTCTTTGTTGGTGGATAGCTTGATGGAATCGCCCTGCTTCAGTTCGATTTCGGACGTGTCGCCGCCCTCTATTTTGCCCGTTCGAATTTCCGGCCCCTTGGTGTCCAAAGCAATGGCCACCGGTTTAAACACACCCGTCTGCTTGGCATACATATCGATGGCCTTGCGGGCCGCCTTAATCGTCTGGCTGTGGTACTCGTGTGAGCCATGCGAGAAATTCAGTCGTACCACTCGCATCCCGGCGCGAATGAGCTCCACCAGAACCTCGGGCTTGTTCGAGGCCGGTCCAATGGTGCAAATGATGCCACTCAGTGGAAACCCTGAGCAGGGTGCATTGAACTGCAGTCGCGACTGGTACTCCAACTGCGTGGCAAAGGGCCCGCGGTCCAGCTTCCCCGTCCGCCCGGCACACTGATCAGCCAGAGGAGTAGATTAAAAGCCAAAGAATCAAAGGGTGGTAGCGAAACGTACCTTCTGAGCACTACCCGCATAGCTGCAAGAACTGGTTGAAGACCAAGGCGTTTGACACGGAAGCGACGCATTGCAAGCCGCTCGCCGCTTAAGAAGTCCAACAAATCGGGAAATTTTGAACAAATCTTGAAATAATGACAAAATTTAGTTCGATCTGTGACTAGATCTGAGTGGAAATTGATCTAAAAAGCAAATCCAAACTACTTTGATCTTCTAAATCTATGGGTATCCACGTACATACATGATTAGAATTTATTATTCTTTTTGAAGAGAACACTATATTATTCAACAGTGATAGCTTAAATTTGTGTGTCGGCGGCCTGCGGCGCTTTGACAGCGGTTCTTTTCCTCCTTCTTCCGATATTCCAATATACGCAATTAATAAATTAACTTGGTTATTAACATTAATCAATGCTACGCCCGCTACTGTTGCTGCTACTGCGACGCATCAAGGTACTTCCTCAGCGACAAGATTTATTCGACGGTGCTGCAAGCAGAAATTAGAGATTGGTTGAATTTGATCGCTGTTTTCGTTTACTCTGCATGTCAATGCCACTTACACAATGCGAATGGTGTTGGTGAAGCCGGAGCCCTGCTTCCAGCCTGTGACAACGACCACAGCGTCGCCGGTCTTGATGAAGCCGTTCTTCTTGCCCACCTGGACACCGAACTGGACACGCTGGTCCACATCCTTCAACCAGTCGCTCTGTGGTGGCTCTGCGCATAAAAGAAAAGGGTATTAGTACCATGTATGGGTGGAGTACTGGGTGGGTGGGGTACACTTACCCTTGTAGATAAGGGGCACCAGGCCACGGTAGAGATGGGCCTGTCGGGCCGTCTGGGGCAGACGAGTGACGGCAATGATGGGGCAGCGTGGGCGGTACTTGCTCACTTGGAAGGCGGACTTTCCGCTGGTGGTGATCACCACAATGGCGGCAGCCTTGGTCTTGGTGGCGGCCTCAACGGCGGCAATGGCCACACCATGAGCAGCATCCAGGACGGACACGCCTTTCACCAGATCGGCAAACAGATTCGCATGCCAGAGAGCAGCTTCGGCCTCCTTGCAGGTCTTGGCCATGGTCAGGACACACTCCAGGGGGTACTCGCCCTTGGCTGTCTCGCCGGACAACATGACGCAGTCAGCGCCATCGAGCACGGCATTGGCCACATCAGAGATTTCAGCGCGAGTTGGGCGGGGCTTCTTCACCATGGACTCCAACATCTGGGTGGCGCAGATCACGGGCTTGCCGGCCTTGTTGCAGCGGGCAATCATGGCCTTTTGGGCCAGGAACACCTTCTCGGCTGGGATCTCAATGCCCAAATCTCCACGGGCCACCATGATACCATCACCGGCCTCGATAATCTCGTCCAGATTGTGCATGCCCTGCTGGTTCTCGATCTTCGAGATGATCTTGATGTTCTTGCCCTTCTCGCCCAGCACCTTGCGGATCTCAGCGAGAGCAGCGGCATTGCGGATGAACGAGGCAAAGACCATGTCGACATCCTGCTCCACACCAAACTGCAGATCGGACTTGTCCTTCTCGGACACGGCGGGCAGATCCACCGGCACGCCGGGCAGATTCACACCCTTGCGGGAGCCCAGAGAGCCGCCGTTCTCCACCTCGCAGGTGACAGTGTCCTTGCTCACCTCGCGCACCACCAAGGAAATGAGGCCGTCGTCGACGAAGATGTGATTGCCGGGCTTGACAACCTTCACGATGTTCTCGTAGTCCACATAGACCACCTCCAGGGAGCCCTTCTCCAGGAAGTCCTTGCTGGTGGACAGCTTAATGGTATCGCCCTTCTTCAGCTCGATCTCGGCGGTGCCGCTGCCGCCAATCAGACCAGTACGGATCTCGGGTCCCTTGGTGTCCAGGGCAATGGCCACGGGGTGCTCGTAGCCTACCTTGGCCGAGTAGTTCTTGACCGCCTGGCGGACATTGGCCACCGTCTGGGCGTGATACTCGTGGGATCCGTGCGAGAAGTTCATGCGGGCAATGTTCATGCCGGTGGCCATCATCTTCTCCAACATCTCGACGCTGCTCGAGGCCGGGCCGATGGTGCACACGATGCCGGACAGACGCACATGGGGAATGGGCGAGTCGAACTGCAGGCGGCACATGTGCTCCAGTTGGGTATCAGCTGCGGCTGCCATATTTTGTGGTACTTGATTGGGCTGCATGAACGAAAAGGACACACAGATTAGATTAGTTCAAATGAAAGGACTGTTACACCCCCTCCTTCTTAAAGAGTGATATTTCTGACATATCTTTTATGCCTTGGTGAGAGTGCGTGAAAGCGTGAGAGTGGGCAAGAGAGCCGCCCGTGGGCGGAAGAGCATTCTTGCATCGGCGCTGCATCGCCGAAGGTCAGTTCTGCCGACCGAGACCGAGACGAGGGAGGCGACACTCGTACGTTTTCGCAGCTGCAGCTGCAGTCGCAACGAAACCGTTGCATAATTCGTTATTTTTCACAAAAAAAGGAAACTTCTGTTCTCGGCAATCTACTGATATCGGGCCGCCGCCAGTCGGCTGATTATGTGTACATGCACTGCCTAATTTTGTGTATCTTTATGGACCAAAACGTAACAACGCTCCCCCTGACACTGACACTGGCTGGCGCTGGGCGGGGGAAGAGTAATTCTCAAATAAAATACCTTCAGCTGGGGCGCCTCATCGTATATGGTTACGTTCACCATATTGCTAGCAGAAGTATTGAACAAACGACAGTTGGATAATTTTGCAACACGAACGGCAGCCACAGGCAGACGCACACGCACAGCAGTAGCAGACGAAGCAGAAGCGCGAAATAAGGCAAAAATTGTAGATGCCGCACCGCCTTTGTTCGAGGACGAGGAAAAATTTTCGAATGTGGCCGAGAACTTTTTTTTGTGGCCTAGTGGAAAATTTATCGGGCTGCAGCAGCTTTGAGCTTCGGAAATGTCGGTAACACACGAGGACAAACGAATTGGCAAGAGCAACAGGCAAACAACAACCCTAAAAAGCCAGAACCGAGAGAAACAGTTTATCCAAAGCTAAAAGAGAGCGCAAAGCTTTAAGGTTTGCGCGGGGTTTGTTGTTGGCTGCGGCCGGCAACTGGCAGAAAAAGGTTCAACGGATTTTCAAGTGTTTAATAATTTGTGTATATATGTAATTCTATATATTCAGTTTCGTGTGTATAAGTGTAAACAAAAAACGAATCAGCTGTTTCGAATCTTATCAGCCGGCTGTGTCCCAGTCCGCTACTGACCATGAAATCAAATCATTAATCTCTCACAAATCTAAAAATATCAAAGCTCTCTTTGTCTCTCTCACCGGTCATTATGCAAGTGCGTGAGCACACATATGTATCTATGCTTTTTACTCGTGAGTGGCACGCTTTCTGTGCGTGCAATGAAAGCTTCACTTTTAAGTGAACAGCTTTCGTCACAGGGAAAAACGTTATGGAAAAGTTCTAAAAGTCGTCACTGATTAAAACGAAAGTGAAAGCGCCTTTTCCCCCCACAGACTGCGGAACTTTGCCCTTGAACTTGCCCCGCAAAGGACGTTGGCAACATGGCAACAACTTCATAAAAACCGATTAAAAAGCAACAAAGTATTAGCTAAAGCCGGCATTTCAGAAATTTGTATGTATGTAAATTACTCATGGCTGGTACCACTACCAATGTCATAGACGGCACACGCATACATACATTTTGAAGTATAATAAATTACCGATAAGACTGTTCAGTTTGAATGGAAGTTTACAATAATTAGACAGCCTCAAGATTATTGCTGCATTTCCCGATGGCGTGTTTCTGTATGTGTTGGTATTGTCATTGTATGCGTGCTTTGGACGGAATGACTTCTATTTCACCTTTACATATATTTCTGCCCGCCACTGTGCGGTCGCGACTGTGCGGATCGTTTATCTATGTGTTAGTGTGGGGGCGAGGCGGCAAAACTCAGTTCCGATCCACATAATATGGAGAAACAGCTTGCATCATCATCGTCAACAACAACGAAATCGGTGCCAAAACCCCGCTAATTTTTCGCAAAAATGCAAATGGAGAAATGCATGGTGACAGTAAAGTTAAGCAGTAAAGTACTGCAGCTGGAGCACTTAGATATTTACCTGGTTTGACAAAAGGAAATGACGCTTGTGGAAAGATGTATCTGCTCTTCCTGTTTTGGAATTAATTCAAATTTAGTTAAATGCACAGGCTACGAATACACAAAACGCGCGTCTCGTTTGGCTTTCTTTCTCGTTCTGTGGGAGCTTTTCGATTCGCGCGACGGGCGCCATAACTAGGTTGCCAGATTTTGAGAGTCACCATAAGCTATATTGCAGAAAAATTATAGCTAGAATAAGCTAAAAATTTAAAAAAAAAAACTGAAAAATAAGCTAACCATAAAACCACATCAAAATAATGGATCATTTAATTTTATTGTTATCATTAATTTTTAATTAAGGAAATTAAAAGATTTTATACACTTATACTATGGCCGTGTGCTCAGCAATGTACAAGCAAAGTACAGCCTTCTGCTCCTCTGTTTTTGAGGACTTTCTAACGAAAGGTATTTTGTTAGTTTGTGCCATAAGCATTTGAAGCCATAAGCATTTCAATTATTTTTCAAGCTATTTGATTTAAAAAAAAACCAAAATCTAGCTTAAAATAAGCTAAAATGGCAACAGTGGCCATAACTTCCAGCTGCTCCAGCCCTGGTAGCCAACCACTAACCATACAATAGATAGATCTGACAGTTCATGGGACACGCTGCAAGCGAACTTTCTGGATTAGATACCAGGGTCTTCGGCTCTGGCGTCGCGTTATTATCACATTTTTAAAGTTCGCACTTTTTAAAGTTGGATAGAATATAGGAATTGGGCGGAAAAACATAAATAAATACTTATATTTCATGACTTCGCACTGGAATAATTTTCCAAATGAACTGTCTGCACGCGACCCCAGAGCCTTCGGTGTTCCTGAAAAATACCACCAAATCTAGTACATTTGAGACGTTGGCTTTGAAATTGAAGCCCATGCCGTCAAGTAGGTTTAGTTTATTTTGTCAAAATTCTGAATTGTAGAAATGGTTGTGGGCGCTTTTCCAATAGCAAAACTCGGCATCTTGTGTGTGAAACATATCAGTAAGCCGGTTAGCAACGTGATCAAGCGCTTTGCTAATAAGAGTAATGCCTTTAGAATATATGTAGTTGCACCGCCGGCCACTTGTGAGTAGCCCATGGATGGAGAATTAAGGTACAATCATTTTATACACCAGTTCCCAGTGTACAACACGATTGATGTTCGCTCCAAGATGTGGATGCTGAGCATAGGACAGCCGAAGAGGGTTCCGCCCCTAACCCGAGCCATGTCCATTAAAATGGGCAGTGATATACTGGGCGAGCTATTCATATTTATAATTGGTGTTTCCTTCATATTGAACGAGTTTGCGAGGTTTGTACAGCTCCGGAGAGAGGGAGGGAGGATGGATCTTTAAAGTGAACACCATCATGTTCTGTTCCCTTCGTTAGGCAAGCGCGAAACGATGCGCAGAAACATGAAAGGCACAAGAAGAAAAGGGAGGAGCTGAATAACAAAATTGTCGAATTGAACGAGCGAATTGCTCGTCAAGACAGAGAGATTGTGAATCTCAAAGGCAAAATCAAAGAAATTAGATATGATCGATAGCGTTGTTTGACTTAATCTGAGTGGGCTAGCAAATGCCAGTATTTCCATTTTTTGATTCGTTCAAAAGTAGTTCAAAATTTGCAGTTTTCAAGATGGTGATTGGTACATTTCCCATTGGCAAGGTCTTCATTTTTACCATGAAGCAAATTAGCAAGCCCGTAAGCAAAGTATTAAAGAGCTATGCCCGACACCATCCGTTCTTCAGACGGATCGTTTGCATTCCGCCGGGACAGGTTTATAATAATTTGGAGGTTCGGTTGAAATTACACCTTCTGAAACTCAAACAACCGAAGCGAGTGCCGCCTCTAACACCCGCCATGGCAACTAGAATCGGAGCAGATATACTGGGCGAAGTTATTGTGATGAGCATTGGAGTGTTCCTTCTATACTATGAGGTTACACGGTAAGCAAGGGTCGCTAGGAGAATATTTATCAAATATCCGCTGTACTCTGTGTTTTTAGTAATCGGCTGAAGAACGAAAAGAAGCACGAAAAGCACAGAGAGCAGAGGATGCTTTTGGATCAAAGGATCGGTAGTCTGAATACAAATATAGATCGAAACGAAAATGAAATCCGCAAGATAAAGGCGGCTTTATCTTACGAACTCGAAAATTACCGCTACCGAGATGACGGCTGTGAGTAGCATTTGAAATGACCATCACCGATGCCTATCGCCCGCCGCTTAATCGCATATCGGCCACCACCAAACACACATCGCACTGTTGCAGCCCTGGCAGGAGTTTTACAGTGAATATTTTGTAATAGTTTTTTTTGGCCAAAGGAAAAACAATGGTTATTGGCGTCTTTCCGGCGGCCAAACTTGGTGTTTTGGCCATCAAGCAGATCAGCAAACCCATTGCCAATGTGCTGAAGTCGAACGCCAAGTCCAGTCCCTTCTTCAGGAAGTACATCTGCATGCCGCCGGCCCAGTGTGAGTGGATGACAGTGTGAGATATGATTAGATTTGATTAAAGAGTGTTTAATTTCGATTTTACAGTCTACAATTGGGTGGAGGTGAAGACCAAGATGTGGGCCCTGAACATGGGTGGGCGCAGTGTCAATGTTCCGCCGCTGAACGAGGCCATGGCCATCGAGCTGGGTGCTAATCTTCTGGGCGAGTTCATAATTTTCACCATCGGCGCCGGTCTGCTGATATTTGAGTACTCTCGGTAGGTAGCATGAGTTTCAGCAAGTATACATTGTGTAGTTCCACAGTTCACCCTCCGTTTTAGTCAATCCATAAAGGAGACCAAGAAGACCGAGGAAATCCAAATGGAGAAGATGCAGATGACCAATACGCTGACGGAGATGAACTTTCGACTGGAGCGGCAGGATGCACAAATCCGCGAAATGACGAGGGTTCTGGCGGATTTAGGTCTCACCATACAGCCCGCAGTGCTTTTCCAATGGGTTAATCGAACATTCCGCTTTCCGTTTGCTTAGATTCACGCAATATCTTCCGATGGAGCAAAGAGCGCCTGCAGGAGTACGTGCCCTTTGATCCGAGCACACCGGATCAGAGTGCCAGTGCGAGGAATCCCAAGAAGTACGAGGGCGTCTATGACCCCACGGGGGGCATGGCGTTCAGCGCCCTGAACTTCTTGGAAACGCAAATCTTTGTCGATGGACGGAATCGAAAGGCCAAGGAGGCCCTCCAGCACATAGATGAAGTAGCCGAGCAGCTGGAGCAATCCGTGAGCGTGGTGACCAGCCCTGTGGCCGCTACACCGCCGTCGAAAGTCGAGCAATGACACCAGAAACAACTCGAGCAGGATCTGTCCTTGCTCATGTATGCCCTGGCCCTGGAACAGTAAGGGAAGCTGTTTTCTTTGTTTGCACACACATTCATCCTGCAGCCAGTCCCACACCCATGATGCTAGCCATGATCAAATCGCGTGTTACCATTACTTACTTTATAAGTATAAAGTCAATAGATGTACATATATAACTATTGTACATTGGTAGTTGTATTTATTAATTTTTATTGTTACCAAACAAAACTAAAGAGAGATGCAGAACAGTTTACAAAATGTGTGTGTGAATCGTTGCGTGTGGATGAGTAGCAGAAACAGTCACGTCGCGGCGGCTACTCCTGATTGATCACTGTCTGGAGCTGGTGTAGCTCTTCTCCAGAGGGTATCAGCTCGCTGAGGTATTCACCGAAAGCGACGCAAATGTGAAAAAGACTGCGACGCACAGCACCGCGCAGGACGCTGAAGCTGGAGCCCGGACCCCTAAGGTTGCTCGCCACGCTGCTCAACTTGTCCAGCTCTCCCTTCAGGCGACTCATCGACCTTATGATGTCCGGCAGATCGGTCTGCACCACACCATAGCGATCCTCTGTCAGCGAGAACACGCATATCTGGGACAAAGCCTGGATCACGAACACCAAAGGCAGCGAATGGGTCAACAAGAATGTAGTCTTTGCGCCCTCGGGCTCGGTGAACATATAGACAATGCCGGGAATACGATTGATCAGAAGCTGTAGAGACTGTTCTAGCTGCATGGAGGTGCGTTCACACCAATCGGGCACGCGATGTATTCTGTCCACGGGTCGATCGATGACAGCATTGCTCCTCGGAGAGACCATCGAACGAATGCCGTGCATCTGGTTGTACTGGCGTGTGAGCACTCTTTCAGCCATTAGACTAGCACTGGCGCTCTCGCTGATCGGCGTCAACGGAGGACTGCTTGGGGAACCTTTGAGAACACTTATCTTCTGCATGGAATCGATCAGTTCGTCGGTGAAGTTCCCGAAAAGGCTGAGGCATTGGTCGCAGAGTGAACGCCAGTTGGCTGGACGATTGCCCGGCTCGGTTAGCTGGAACAGTTCCGATCGTTTCTCCGAGTCCCCGGCAGTAACCAGATTGTACAGATATTTTGCAGCCAGGCACTGGACCACGTATACGTTGGACAGGCCGAGGGCAGCGACCACGGTTACCTCCTTCTCCTGGACAAAGGCAGCCCGATTTTTGGTGATAGCCAGGGGAAACTCCTCGGACAGAAACATGCTGTAGAAGCAGCGCATGAGATCCATGTTGCTTAGAATTTGGGAAGTGAGTAGCCAGCCGTAGAAGAGCAGCCGCCCATTGGTGGCCACGCCAAAAAATCCCTCCAGTCGCTCATCCAAATCCACTGCAAAGATGTGACTCAACTTGTGGCACACCACACCACCGAACAGCCAAAAGAGCAGGGTGTAGGCGAGCGTGGGCAGGAGCGACTTGATCAATGATCGGGCCAGACTGCTGTAGAGCACCTCTCGCAACTTCTCGCCCCATAAATGATTCACTATGGGAAACTCTATTTCGACCTCCTGGCGCATGTGAACCGAGACGAAGTAATAGCAGCCCGCGAAGATGCCCATGCCCAGCAGGTACACGTGATAGGCGCTTATGCAGTCCTGCTCATAGCACTTGTACCACAGATGCCTGAGGGATAGATAAAAAACGATTACAATTTGTGTTAATATATTGGCACATGAGTACCCACCGATAGTCCGTGTGCATGTAACCAGTGTACAACCACGCCGTAAGGTAGCCCACGAGCAGATGAGCGGCCAGGAAGAGCAGCTTGCGGGGTGCATAGTGCACCAGCCAGCGGAAGCGGGTGGGGCAATACAGTCTCTCGGCCAAGTGCTGCTGGCACAGGATCACGCCGTACAGGACAACCGCTCCGACGAGAGGGATGCTAGCGAACCAGGTGTACATGCTGCACACCAGACTCAGCGTGACCGAGATCCAATGAAGCGGTCGCAGCAATTGAAAGTTAACGAACAGCAGGAAGATAGTCAGCAGCAGGAACTGGATGCCCACGGTCAGCAGCACGGCCTGCAGGCACCGCCGAAACAGCAGGAGCTTGCAGGCATTGATCGTCGAGAGGTGGGACATTGGAAAGACAACACTTTCATAAATATATTTACTTTAGTTCCAAATTTCCAAAAAATCGCAATAGTAAGCCGGCAACGCGCGCGTTTTTAGTGCTACCGTGCGAGGATAAGTAAAATATACCATAATACTCTACTGAATATACTAAAGGGATAAAATACTGTTAACCTATTTGAATTCAAACGAATGTGTTTAAATCAATTGTGAAAATCTTAATGAGCCAAACGCTGATACCGCACAGCTGCCCCTCGGCTCCGGCCCGTGGCCCATTGTGATCATCATAGCCGGGTACCTTGCTATAGTCCTCGGGATGGGCAGAAAGTTCATGGAGAGACGAGAGACTTTCAAATTGAACCACCGAGTATAGTATTGAAATATATTAAATTTAGAAATTCCATACTCAGGTTTCTTGATTTTTCGCTCTCTGAAATCGCATCCCAACAAAACTTTCCCAAATTTATTCCAGTAGTTTTAATTCAAATTTCATTTTGGCGCGTAGGTCGAGCGACTATGGGGTCGATAGTATCGAAAGCCGGTTGATGTTATTTCGTTTTCTACCGTTGGCAACATTCAGATTAGACACATGTGCCGAGAAAAGAGAAGCATTGTCCAGCAACATGGGACCGGAATCATCGCCGTTATGTATACCCTAGAGAAAAGAATATTATAGAATTGCGGATATGTTTGCCATCTCAGGCGCCAATGAATGCTGACATTTCTTTAAAGCTATCTCATGGTCTTCTTACAGACGCCATATACAGGGATCCTATTAAATTCATGAATAATTCGAAAAGCAGATTGGAAAACATATTCTAACATTAATTTAAGGAAAAAGGGTACACAAATGTCCATACTCATATCTCAATTCTATTAACTAGCAATAATGACGTTGCATACACACTGACGGTTTTTGAACACAATCAAATAGAAAGGATTCCTATAAATGAATCAGCTATGTAGAAAATTGATTCATTAATCTAATAAAATTATGTGTTCAGTGCTGAGGATCCTATTCAGCTATTAAAAGTAAAGTGAATATCAGAATCGAGGAATATGATATCCGAAGATGAACGAAGAACGATTAACCCATGGTGGTCCAGTGGGTATTTGAATAAACCCACGATAATTATGGTCTTTCCCCGTTGTATTATTTTTTTTAAGTAACGAAGAAGAATGGGTCTAGGAGAGTTCACAAACAGTATTATTTTCTGTGGTTTAACTCAAGTTATTGAACTCTTCAAATTGAGATTTTTAATGGTGGGTTCAGTTGGCTTAGATTTTCTTCATGGGTTCGTTATTCGATAGTGTGACCGAAGTGGCCGAAAACCACATACCCAAAACCCAGACGGTATTTTTCATCGATAAGTCCGTGGTCACACTGCCAACAAGTCGACGCTGGCAGAGAAAATTCTGCCGCGAACCGCGAAACAACGCAGCCTTGTCGAATTTTTTTTTTCTGAATTTGGGGAAAATTGGGGAAACTCGGAGCCGCGACAACGGAAAACAGAATAATGTCGGATTTTTCCTAGATTCAGAAAAGTAGTTCCGTTCCGCAGATATATGCCACTTGAAAATACCCATATTCGAAATATCAATATCCCAAGTGCATGGAATTTTGGCCAGCGCAGTCAACAAGGCCATCAAAAAATATTCCCAAACAAATGTGTCCATGCACAGAGGATGAATAAATGTGTAAATTAGGTGGGTGCCAAAAAAAAAAAAACCAAACAAATAGTGTAACAAAATTCAGTCGGAGCTGAGAAAAAATCGTGTGCGCGTATCAAAAAGAGAGCGCAAGAGAGCGAGAGAGCACAGCATTGCGTGAATAAAGCAAGCGACACAAAATTGTTGTAATTAATTCATATTTAATTGCTATTTGGTGTAATCCGACTGTGCATAGTAAAGTTTTGGGAGCGAAATGCAGCTGCCAAATAAAGTGATGTGATGTGATGTGCTGTGTTTGTGTGTGTTGTGCAGTGTAATGCGTATTGAGGTCACTTTGTACATATTATAACAGCAGTAAACCGCAGCATAGGCACGCGTTTTCCCCCCGCTTTATGATTGTATCTGTGTGTGGTAGTGCGTGCGTGTGTGAGTGCGCGCGATTGCCCAATACTAATACCAACAACAGGCAAAGGCAAAGGCAAATCGCTTTGCTAGCCAACGGCCAACGGCTACACCACCAATTCGTTTTCATCCCACTGCCCAAGGCAAACAGCTGCTGCTTCTGCCACTGCCACTGCGACTCCCTGTTTCGTTGTTGCTTTCGTTGTTTGTCTCTGCTGTCTCTTTTGACTGCTGATCGTTGGAGCATAACCCGAGGGCAGGTGGTGTCCGCACAAATAGATACGCATTAATTATAAAATAAATGCCATGTTTTAATTTCGGTATTTAATGCACACCATACAAATTATTCTAAAGCAACAACAAAGAGTACATACGAGACGAAGAGAGTGTGTGTGTGTGTGTGTGTGTGTGTGCGGGTGAATCGTTGTGGTCTCCCCACCCTTACTGCATCCACATCACACCCTTTCCATTAACCGTACCATACCCCCCCCTTCGGCTGTGCCTGGCTTGGTGTGCGTCTTCATGCTCCATTCACCTACTTTTACGCGTTGTTCGCTCTTTGCTCTTCGCTCTTTGCTGCCGTTGACTGCGCCGCGACGTTCGTTTTCTGAATTCCAAATGAAGTCATGAGCAGAGCAGATTGTATAAAAAGCAACAGCAACAAACAGCGCAGCAGCTGAGGCAAAAGGCAGAAGTGGCCCCAAGGCAAAAATACAAAAGTCGTTGTCGCATTATTACAGCAAAAAAAAATTACAAAAATTGAATACCAAATAATACTACCACCAACAACAACAACAAAAAAAAAAAGTGAAATTAAGTGTTTTAAGAAAAAAAAAAAACAACAAGAAACTAAATAAAACATGAACATGGCGGCCGCGTCTCGTTTACACAATAACTCAAAATTAATTTAATATGCTGGCAAATGAGCAAAACGAAAACTACGCTAAAAGGTGAGCAGATAGCAGTAATACGCGCGAGTAAATGTATAAATAGGCAGAGGTGCGGCGGCAGCTGATTGCCCACGTTTATGCGGGTCCGTTTATTGCAATGTGTGCGACGTTTGCGTGTGTCCGTCCGTGCGTGCGCAAGAGCATAGTAAACGCATAAACCAATCAGCTCATCTCAGGTTTACAGCTACAAAACGGCCAATTGGCTTGTTCATTATTTACGCATCGTATAAACGTGCCGATTGTGTGTGTGTCATTTCTCGCCCTGTAAGTTACACACACACTAAAATAGGGGGGAAATCAATGCAAAGCAAAGGCTAAAACGCAATTTAATACGAGGCCGGCAGTCGGGCTCTCATGATTGGACACCCTATAATCGAATTAGGCCCCCCATACGAATGGGTTTTTAAAAAGCCTCCCACATGATTCTGTGCTTCTTCTTCTCTTTTCCTTCAACAATGAAATCTCGCATCTTGTTGGGTTATTGAAAAATGTATATACTCATGTTCCCAAGAGTTTTGAGTGATTTCTACAACAAAACAGTCTTCAAAATCACCTTTGAAATAAGTTTCAAGAATTTATCAAAATTAGTGGCGAATCTCTTTGAAACCCTTGTATTTTGCAGGCCCTAAACCGGAGGAGTTGCTTTTAGAAGGCTGCTGTTAGCAACATGGCTGCCACATCCGCTGGCCAACAGCAGCAGCACCAGCAGCATCAGCACAAATTGAATATGATCGGGAGTGCTGAGACAGTTGTTGCCAGTGAGATGCATCTCCAACAGCAGCACCAACAGCAGCAGCATCAACAGATCCACATGTTTAAGCAACATCAGCAATTGTTGCCACTGCATCAGCAGCAACAGCAACAGCAGCAGCAACAACATCATCAATTTTTCCAGCAGCAACAGACAAAATTTGTATCGCGGGTCGTTACAAATGCAGCAATGCAACAGCAACAGCAACAGCAGCAGCAGCAGCATATGCAACAAATATTACCAGCTGGTTTGGTAAATGGCAATGTAAGTGCAAACATGATGCAAGCAACAAATCTGCATCACCAGCAGCAGCAGCAGCGCAACAGTCAGCAGCATATATTTGTCTGTCCAACGAGCAGTCCCCAACTACTCCTCCAACATCAGCAGCAGCAAGCTCTGCCACAGCAACAGCAACAGCAACAACAAACGAAGCTTCGTCAGGCGCAAATAAAGTTGCCAGTAAAGTCAACAGCGGTCGTTGCAGCAGCAGCAGCATCGACAGCGACAGCGGCAACTAGTGCTACTGCTGCAACAATACTTGCCTCGCGTCAAATGAGTCAGAACAATCAGATCTATGCCAAGAATGTTGCCAACAAAGCCAGCAACAGCAGCAGCAGCAGCAGCAGCAACATGAACAGGAAAAATGTCAGCTACAATGGAAATTTGGCTCCAGGCTGGCGTCGTTTAACCAGCAACAATGAAGTGGCCTACATCAGGTGAGTACAGCTCCTCCCCCTTCCTCCCACACAGACCAATGGGGGAATCAAGCTAGAAGAGAGTGGTGCAGTGTCGTGTCTCTTCCTGCCACTCTACCACTCGTCGTGGCTGGTTGTGTGGTAGTTACATGACATTTGCAGCACCAGCGACCGGCTAAAAGTCAATCTGGTTATTGTCTGCCGACGAAACGAAACGCATTCGAGAAACCATAAAAATGTACTATTCGTACAGGAAATGCTACTGTCCAAAATGGTGAGGGGGGGAAATGGAATGAGAAAGGGCTGCCTTGTGCAGTAGTCGATGTTTTTGCAACCAAGCAGCAGCCCCACGAGAGACGTCGGGCAGGCAAATGTTTACCTGGCATTATCTGCGAGGGGCGGCATTATCATCAAGCACACACATAATTACAAACTCAAATCAAATATTTACACAGATATGTTGAAAGGTACGACTGCGAGTGTAGGTGTACATGTGGCGATGGATATATCCCAATCCTCTTCTGAGAACTGTGAAGGCCTTCAGGCGTTTAGCTTTTTTCGGGCTTGAGCGCAAACAGAGCCGCCCCTGGGGCACTGTGCACTGGGCATTGGGCCCTGGGTTCTGTGATGTTGGGTAATTGTTGATTTTATAAGTGGCTCCGGCACTTCTCGAGTGGCTTGACTCTGGGCTCGGTTTTGGTTTTAGGTCCGTGTTCTCTTCTGTATAGTTTCGCCTCGCAGCTGTTGTGTGACTGGAGAGTGGAGTGGGCGAACAGGGGGACTCATCTGTTGGTTTAGGCCAACCATCGCATGCCTGAAGTAGCAGCGGCACCACCACCCCACAGATTATGGTCAAGAACTCCTGCAAAACACGAAACACACGAGTCGTCTTTCTTTCTGTCATGTTTCTCTCTGTTTGTTTGTGCTTTTCGAGAGGATTTCATTATGCCCGGCAATCATTATTATTACGTATTATACTTTATAACTCTCTTCACTCTCTACCGCTCTTGCTGTCTGGCTGTCTCCAGAAGCCACAGCTAATCCTCTGCAGTCCATTTACTTGTGGACTTGGCACCTTGCCACCACGCTCTTAAGCCAGATAAAAAGGGGGTGTTATATTTCTGCCCAGAGGTCACAGGTTAGGGGGTTTAGTGAACAAAGCCTCTAGACCTTCAGACCTGGCAATGGAATTTCAAAACCCCTACAGTTTGCAAAATAAAATGTAAAATAAAGGGACTTCCAACGGGAACCCTTAAGAATCTTCTAGTCTGCAATTAAATTTAAAGTTTCGGCTATCAAAGCCAGACAACTCTTTCTTTAGCTGTTACACTTATTCACTGGGCCATTACGCTGCCAGGACACTCTTTGAGGGCACCGCTGGTCTGTCCTTTCGCCGCCTTTCACGGCCCGCTGGCCATGCACTCGGTATTTACTTGTGCCACTGCGACGACATGACATCGTGTGTCAAGCGTTGTCATTGTCCATCCCAGACCCAGACCCAGGCCCAGGCCCAGACCCTGCCACAGCCACTTCCCCTTGGACGGGAGTACGAGTGGAAGCAGCTGCTGCTCATTTCCACGTTGCGTGTTGCTAGGTTCCTGAATTTCTGCTGTTTGCCTCAAAAGTTTTGTGTGCTGTGCGGTGGCAAGCGCCGCGGAACTATCCCCCTTTTTTTTTAGTTTACTTTTGCGAAAAAAGATAACCAGCTGGAAGAACAGGGTGGAGGTGGGGGGGAAGTACATGAATACCACGTTTTTGTTGAGCTTCCGTCCCCGTCCACGTCCTGGCCTTGTTCAGTTTTTGCTTCAATAGAATGTTGCAGCGGAATGCCAAGAGTGTTGGGCATTGCCGGAGGGAGGGAGGAAGGGAGGGAGGCCCGATTTGTCCACTAAATCAATAATTGTTGGGCAAGGCAAGCATTTGAATGTTTGCTCAAGTGCTAAATGGCTGTGACCAGGTCAGAGCCGAAAGCAGGAGGCCAGGCCGCCCACTGTGCCCGGGTCGTATATAATGCTCGTACGTTTATAAATCATAAATCGGAAACGGCAGCTGGAGATCGAGGATCGAACACCGAGCAGAGCGGAGTCAAGGCGCCCCGCCAGGCCTCGGGCCAAGGAATGCGGAATAGTTTGCCAGTCAAAAGAGGCAAGAGAAGAGGCAGCAAGCCAGCAAGCAGTTTTCCCATTTTCCTTAGCAGCCTACCTCTCAGCCGACCCAAACCCTCTTTGTCTGCCCTGCCCCTCCCGGTCTTTCAGCAGCGTAGGTTGCATCAGCAGTGCCTCTGCCGCCTGCATTGTCAGTCATTCAGACAGACAGACAGGCAGATACTCAGGGGCTCAGAGGCTCAGAGGCTCAGAGGCTCTCTGGCCTTTGAAATGTGTTTATTTTACTTACTTTTAGGCATTTGTTGCGAATCCATTCGCTGGCTGCTTGTTGACTTTGGTCAACGCCCAACACACAAATTTGTCGCTGGCAATATCGTGGGAAAAGATAGCTCCAGAAGGAACTTAAGCCCCGACTTGTTTCATAGTCGAAGCGTGGGCCATGATTCATATTTGGGAACGTTCTAATGGAGAGCATGGAGGGGGTATTTGAGTCATCGTGAATCCCAGAAAACTATACAGATATCAGCTTGGGGTTTTTTCTGATCGGTCTGTTGTCCTCTTAGATGAAATGAAACACATAATTCTGTAATCTTTTCACTGTAGAACCAGCGGCAATCTGTTTCTAAAGAACTGCAGTGCAGTCGGGGACCTTTTTAGGCTTTCTTTTTGCCTTCTGTCTGTCAAGGACATGCCCAACAAAGACAACAAATAAACTCTTGTGAAAGGATTGAATGGAATTGCCCATGTCCCTGTCTGTCTGCCCGCCGCTCCTGGCCTTTGTGCCATAATTTTTTACAGTTTCATGCGCCGCCTCTGGGCCAAGTCCGCCGTTCGTTGTTTGTGCTCTGTGTTTGGGATTATTAATTTAGTAATAGGCTCTGGTCTGGTCTGTCTGCAGCGTCATCTCTTTCGTGGCTCGAGGGTGCACTCAAGGTCGCACGGGGCGTAAAGCTTTTCCACCTTTTCACACAGTTTTCCCCAACGCCCTGCCAGACCACAGACGAAGGGCCCGAAGAGACCCGGCGACGACAGGGCAGGGAGTGGGTGATGGCTGGCCACTCGACTTTGCCACTTGGCGTTTTGTGTGTAATTTATTAAATTATTTTAACTCGTTAGCTCGACGCCTTTCATGTGGTTACAGAGAGAGGGAGAGAGGGAGGGGGAGCGGGGTTATTAGCGCATTTTCAGCAAATAGGAAAGAGTGAAACAGCTCCCCAGAGTGAGGGAGAATCAAATTTAATGAGCTAGTCGAGCTCTTCTGCCACCTCCTGCGGCTGGTAATCGGCTGAGGCTGCTGCCTCTTAAGCTGCCTCTTGCCACAACGCCAGCTGCATACAAATTGAGCCATAAGCTTTGCTGGCGTTGATGATGATTCCCTGCTCGGTGCTCGGTCCTGCTCCTTCGTGTCGTCTGGCAATCGACTTGCCATCGATTTTTCCAATCTCGGAACGAACCATGGGGCCTGCTCTCCCCCTCCCCCCCCTCCCCTCTCTCTATCTCCCTGTCTCTTAAGTAGTTAAAAATAATTAATAAAACAAACCAGAACCAGTTTTGTTGCTGCTGCTGCTGCAGCCATTGATGAAGATGATGAGGGCTCTGGTATGTCATGTGGGGTTCCGTCCGATTGAGGCTTGGGAACACAACTGCTCCTCCTCCTCCTCCTCCTCCTCCTCCTGCTATGAATCCGAATCGAATCTTCTGCTCTGCCCTGTTCTGGCAGAAGGACGGGCTAAAAGGGCTACTCAATTGACAATTCGCATACTCGTTTAACCCGTAACACGATTCTGGTTGTTGAATGTTGCTGTCGCTCAATTATATTGTTGTTGTCTGCTGCTCCCCAGCTCCTGTTGGTGCTGTTGCTCCTGCTCCTGCTGCTCATGCTGTCCTGCTGTCGTCGTCGTCGTTTCATTTAATGCCCTTGCCGCTTTCACACTTCATGCATTATTCAGATTTCCCATACGAATACGAACACGGGGTTCGAGAGAATGGTCTCGAGTATGGCCAAGGGGCATGAGGGGAGGGATGCATGTATGAGTGTAAGCCCAGCAACAAAACTTGAGCCCTGGCATCAGTCGTCGTCTCTCGAGTGGCACGACTCCGTCTCCGACTGCGACTCCGACTCCGATACTCCTCGAACGGCGTCATCATCAGCGCCCTTGATTCCTTCAACGTGCTCACACTTTACAATTAATAAGCAGCTACGTTTCCCCCCCCCCCCCCCCTCCTTCTCTCTCTCTCCCTCTCTCTCTCTGCTTTTTTTGCGTTCTTTATTCCGGTTTTTTTTTTTATGTTTTGTTTTGCGATACCCTTTCAGGGGATACTATGATTTGGGCCACGGATAAAGGTACTCGTAAGACCTCCTAAATGACATGACAATGTTTGTCTATCCCTTCGATCTTAAAGATCTTATAGACTGACACGTGTGCCTCGACAAAAACGTTCCGAGTAGTCTTTATGTCTTCTGGCTATTTGAGGGATCTTGAAAGTAAAATAGAGCCAAGTAGAAGGTATTTTGAATGATGCTAAAGACGCGAAAAGGCAGAAATTACTTTTCAAAAATATCATAACTTGGAGTCCAATAAATGCTAAGTTCCTAGTGAGACAAGGGTATTCTTATAAGTTAATGCACTTATCACAAGGTCAATAAAATAAAATGATTTCACAAACGAATAGCATTTCTAAAGAACTACCAGTCGGAATTGGTTTTTATATTTGTTCTCCCTCTAACTCTAACTCTATTCTCTGTTCTCCAACTCTATATAGCCTCATTTTTCCCACAGTCTAAAGAAATTCAACAAAAATCTATTCCAAATTGAATCATAATTAATTCATAAAGGGTATTCAAAGCTTCGCCGAAACCCAAAAGGTGCTTCTCCTTCTGGGGTTTTTTTTTGTTTTTTTGCAAACCCTGGCAGCGCACATGCGACAACCCATTTATGTCGGCAGATTTGCGGTCATGCGTGGCCCGTGGGGAGCGGGAGCGGGAGGGGAGCAGCGGCACCCGATAAGTGGAAAGGGTAACCAAAATTGAGAAAGGAAAAACCGCCCTGGACCTGGTCGTGGTCGTGGCCCTGGCCTCTCTCCCATCCCCTCTAACCCCTCTAACCCCTTCGGCAGCCTTTCAACTGGATTCATTTGGGGTTTCTTTTTTTTCTTTCTGTTTTTGTCGGTATTTAAATTTGAAAAAATTTAAATCAATTTTTTGCCTTTTCATAATTTTTTGATGGCGCATAGGCGCGTTCTGTGGCAACGGAATGGATGACGTAGTAATACTCGTTTTGTTTTTGTTATTTTTCATGAGGTGCGGAGTTCTGTTCTCCTTTGTTCGCCGCGCCTTGTCTCTCTGTACAAAGAGGGGGGAATATTTTCGTTTTCATTGTTAAATTGTAGCAGTTTCACATTGTGTATCTTCAAGATATCTGCATATGGACACAAAAAACACAACTGGGAACCACTGGGAACCATTTCGAAACACTTTTGAATTAAAATCCAAGGTTTCCAGGGAGATTAGGGGATGATACTTAAAAGGCGGGCCTCGTAAGAGGGGCTCTCGAGCGAATTTTACCCCTTTCGAAATATTCATCACGCCATTCCTCAACACAACACGTGGGAGCCCTGTAACATTAACCAAAAAATCTCATAAATTAACCATAAAACGCAACAAAAAAAAAAAACACAAACATAAATATAAAACCAGTTTGAATTATGCTCCGATCGAGTCGCACTTATCCAACGGACGGACAGACGGCCAGCGAGCGAGCAATTCTGATTGGTATTAATTTATGCGAGAGAGCGAGAGAGGAGATAAACAGAGAGCAGAGCTGAGCAGAGCGGAGCGGAGTAGAGAGAGAGTCGCCTTACATTGTCATGTTAATGTCCATTATGTTAATGAGCTGTTAATCAAACACTCGCCCATTACCCTTTGCCTGGGCCCCTCCGCTGTCCGCTGTCTGTTGTCTGTTCTGTTAGTTATTGCGGCTAATTGCACCCCAGAGGGGTGGGGGTGGCCATAGAGCTGGCACAGGGGGTAACCTTGGGGTAATTGCATGATTTCCATAAAACTAATTGTGCGTTAAAATAGTGAATAATGGTATACTGGGAATGCTTGTACGTGTATCTTTCGATTCTCATATCATTTGTATCTATTGCAGTCCCACGGGAAAAACGCTTCGCACGCAATTCCAAATCAAGGACTATCTGCTGACGCAGGGTACCTGCAAGTGCGGTCTACCCTGTCCGCTGCGACCGGAATGCCTATTCGATTTCAATGCACAGGTAAGCCCCACTAATCCGTGATAATCTATTGAAAGCTGGCATGGAACGGCGCGAATGAATGAATGCCGAGGATGATCATGGAAATTGAAAGTCGTGGACATTTCCTTAGACTCGGATGTACTACAGGGACGGCGCTTTCCGATTAGAGGAGAGGCAGACGTGCCGTGATTGCGCTTGATTGTGGTCACGCTGTCATCTCTATCCGGGCAGCGTTCTCAACTTGTTTGTCTCATAATTGGCTGTAAATACCGACGAGAGCCGAGGGGAAGGGGAAGCGAACGCCAAAGCTTCGGCTAAACCGAAAGCTAAAACTGAAGCCAGAGCTAAATCTAATTGAATGTGCACCGAGCTAACTAGCTGGCAAGAGCGCGAGAGAGGGGATGTGTGTGCACCGAGCTAACTAGCTGGAAAGAGCGCGCGCCACAGAGAGACAGAGAGGAAAGGTAGAAGGCAAAGGCTGCGGGAGGGAGCGGAGCGGAGAGCACAGCATTCAGCGGACTTTCACTGAGCTTTGCTGCAGTGTAACTGCAGCTCCAGCAGCACCCCACCCCACCCCAGCCCCCTTCCAGCCCTCTCTCGTCAGTGGGGCTTCCAGATTAACGCAAAATATTTGTAAAACCAGTTTGACAACAAATCGACTGTGACGACGACGATGGCAGCGACGTTGACGTTGACGTCGACTGCATAATCACAGAGCAAACAAACTCAGAGTTGGATACTCTCCATTCCACCGTCCCTCCCCCCTGGCATTGGTGACCATCTGCCGCTTGGTTCTCTGGAGCAGTTCCAATTTGTATATACTATCTGCATACATGTACATACATATACATACATATATAGAAGTATATGCCCGTGTGTGTGTGTGTGCAGTGTAAATCGCAGTGAAATCGCCTGCAATAAGATTAATTTTCAACAACAGCGGCATCAGCGGCAGCAAAAACAAAAACTGTTAACGGTAAATCACACCCAGACATTGGACATGGCCATGTGCCGTTGTTCTGCTTCTGTTGCTGCTGCTGCTTTCGGCTTATTCTTATTCGTCTTTCGTCTTTTTCTTATGATTATTTGTGCTGCTGCTGCTGCTGGCGCTGCCCTGCTCTGCTTTTGTTATTGGCTTCTGTTCTGTCTCCCCTTTCAGCATTTGTCTGTTGTCTCCCTTCCACTCGTTTGCCATCAACCGAGGAGGTCATTAATTTGAGTTTATGGTTTCCCTTTGGTTTTTTGCGTGACGTTGATGCCCGCCGTCAAGCGCCAACGCCCGACCCCGACTTCGACTTCGACTCCGACTCCCCCTCCCATCGAGCGCCTGGCCGCCCCCGCGCGCACATTCAATGTCCTTTTAATATGCTCCCCACCAAAGTTTGAGGAGTGTTTTGCACTCAAAAAAATTAGAGGTGGAAAAAAGTTCAAGCAAAAATTCCATAAATACTCGGAATAAATTCCCCGAAATTTTCCATCAGAAAAGTTCAATCTTGGAATCACCAATTTTTTAAGATTGAACTTTTTTGTGCTCTTTGCTCTTTATGCAAACCAATTAGGCCCCTTTATCCAACATTTAATACAACGAAATTGTTGTTTCGCCCCAAAAAAGTTTCACTTTCATTGGAAAGAGGGAGCTGTTGCGGTGTCCCTCCTGATTTTCTCACAGTGCACACACACGCCTTTTAAGTTGAATGCCTGGAACTGTGAAACTCGCGCGCCAGCGTTGATTGTCGTCTTTTGTTGGCGCTGCTTCTTCTGCTGCTGCTGCTGCTGTTGCTGCTGCTTCGTCAATCGATATTTCGGTGCAATGCACTTACATATAACGTGGCTCCTCAACCCATCTCTACCTCTACTTCTACTCTTTTTGCCTCCCCTTCCCTCGCGCAGCCTCCATTTTGATGGGGGCTAAGCTGATCTAAAATGCGTATTATCGAAAGGCAGGGGAAACCGCAATTTGTTTACTAAACACTTCATTGTGCCACCGATAGCGCTTGTCCTCTGTCTCTCTCTCTCTCTCTCTTCCTCTCTCTGTCCTGCCTCTTGCTTGACCACAAGAGTCGATGACTGTGTGTGCCTGTATTCGGTCTTTTGGCTATAACTTTGAGTTACGTGGGTATCGGGGGACTTTTGTAGCACGTCTCATGTTTTGGGGGCACATTCAACTCCGCTGCCCCATGCTGCCCCTTTTTACGTTTCGTTTTGGCCATGATTGATGGCCTCACATAATGAAGTCTACGCTCGTTGATTTGTTCGCATTTCTGTTTTGATTATTGCCATTTTATGCTGTTGTCTTGACTGCTTTTAGCAGCCTTTCTTTTGTGCTTTAAGGTGTGGTAGGTTAGGGATTTCATTCTGTCTCTGTCACTGTTTCTCTCTCTATCGCCCATTCTCTGTCCCTCGCTGTGTGTGTGTGTGTGTGTGTTTCTGTTTGGTGAAAGTCTCTTTTGGCCAGAAAGCTAGACAAAGCGGCTGTCACTCAATGGAGCTACGGAGCTGCTGTGGAGCTGGAGTTCGGATTGAGCATTGAGCCATGGTATCGCATGGCAGCAGCCAGGCAGTCGGTCGCTTGGTTTGAGGCTGGGCCAGCCATCCAGCCATCCAGCCAGCAAATTATGATGTCGGAGGAGACAAAGTCTCGAGTGTTTCGGCTACGATTGGAAAGTTGAGGCTAAAACTGAAAAGGCCAAATGGAGCAGCGGCAGAGGCAGGCATGATGGCAGACAATTACAGTTGAGACATAACTAGTTTTGCGTTGCCCGTACTCGTATTTGATATCCAATTTGAAAAGTCTGTAAAATAAAAATAAAGCTGTGAAAGAGAAAAGTTTTTCTCATGAGAGGCGAGGCCTTTTCCCCCGAATGCGATTAATGTATAATTAATAGCCATAATGGGCGTATACGTAATCCGCGGACTGCGTATACGCAGTGTGTCCCTCATTAGGCATGCCTCATCGCGTAATTATATCACTCTCTGTGGCCCTTTAACCATTCTCTATATGTGCATTGTATTGCCCCTGACTCAGGCATCGGTTTATGGAATGACGCAGAAGGCTTTGTTGTCTGTTCGATTCGCAGTTCTCTGCTCTCGATTCCACTGCAATTGTCGATAATTAAACAATTATTTACAATTGAAATTCTCAATTGCTAAAAGTGCAAATGAAAAACCGAAACACATAACACAAACAAAAAGATTGACTCGTTCTTTATCGCGTTTTTTTTTTTTTGCTATATATTTTCCGATAAGTGCGAGACAATTGAAATTGATTTTCCGCAGGCAAAAGCAAAAAGCAGAGAGCAGCTGCCTCGTCCCCAATGGACTTCTATTTCGGGAGAATTGCACGCAGCAGCAGTAGCGGCAGCATTGTGTGGCAAGTGGCACAGGCCTCTGAGTCGGCGGGGGCAAGTACCAGATCCCAGGTCCCAGGTCCCAGGCAGGTCTCAAGCAAACAAATAAAACTTTGGCCCCAGTTCTCTACATTCAGATTCCATTCCGACAAAGGCAAACAAAACAAACAAACAGACTTGAGAAGGTCAGCGTGCGCCGAACGATGTCGGCGCTGTTCAGCATTGTTGCCACAAAATTTACAGCTTACAATAAAAATAAAAGCAATATTAATTGTTGTTGCTGTTGCTGTTGCTGCTGTTTACGACACACACACGCAAAAGGCAGGGAATGACGAAGTCGGATGGTTTGATTGCCCTGAATGTGCGTGAAGGTTGGCTGCCGGACAATCTGCTTTGTAGCAGTGCCCCCCGCCGCTCCCCCTCCCACTGCTATCGGCCGTGTCAGGGCCAGAAAACGAAAGTAAACCCCCAGATTGCATCGCATCGCATTGCTCTAAATTTGCATACCCTAGACGAGGGGTATTCTGACTTTGGGTAGATCTTTGCCATAAACAAAGCTCCTTAAGGCTTCATCAAGGCATTAAGTCTAGACGGCGGGTAGTACATAAGAAGAATAAGGTAAGTACATGGAAAACCCAAGATATTCCAACAATCGGTTAAAATCTCTTATAGGAACCATAGACATATTCGGTCTTGTAGGTCTGTGATGGGCACTTCAACAACAACCACAACAAAATACAACTCTTATCAATGAGAACCGAGTCAAAGAGCGATCATGCACACGACATGTATTTTGTTTTTGCATTCTCGGTGCCATTCTCGATAGGGGACATAACATAATCTTTTCTCTGGAGCCACGCTACCCGTTTCGGTCGCTCACACGACATGAATTTCGTTTAAGCATTCTTGAAGAATAGATCTTTGAGGCGGAATAGTTGCCATAGGAGCAGCTGGGAGCAAGGAAGTGCATGGAATGACCATATCGGATGGCTACCATAGAAAGGGTATCAAAACAAAGGTTCGCCCGAAAGTCAGTCGCCGCTTCCTATCTTGTTTGTGCGCTGTCATTCATTCATTCAGGGCTGTCCCCGGAATCGCCTCCGAATACCATTTCCATTCCCATTTCCATTCCCATTCCCATTCGCAAACTCTGACGCACAGCGAATGGCAACCGAGCACGTCCGGAAAGTGGCGTCCATCAGCCCCAATCGGATTCTCCCTGGTTTTTGCTGCTGCCGCGGCGCTGCTGCTGTTGCACTTTTCGGCCAATTTGCATTTATAAACATTTGCAGAGAGCGCGGGCACGAAAACTGTGGCAGACAATTTAGCATATTCATGGAACAACAACTAAAACAATTAGGCGGCGCAATGGTGTCTGGTGGCTGGTGGCTGGTGGCAGGTGGCAGGGATGCAACAACCTTCCTGCCTCAATCTTAATCTTTCAGGGAAATACGCGAGTGCCTGGTGTAGTCGTTTGTTTCTTTCTTTCCTTTTTTTCGGGGGTAATTTGCACGTCACTCGAATGTGAGCAGGAAGACCTGAGACTTGACTTGTCTCGAGACTTGTCTCTCCCCTCCTTTGCCCCTCCTTCGCCCCTCCTTCGTCTCGGCTTGACTCCATTCCACGCCACTTGCCTCCACTGCTGCCACAGCACACCATTCCACTCCAGTCCAC